GCTATATATGTATATTTACCATGTACACTGTTCTTTTGGGGGTCAATAATTTGAATGAAGAAAATCAAATTCAGCTAATTTTGTCTTTCAGTTAGTGCTAATAAAATCAGTGAGGGTTCTTGAATTTTGAAATCTCACTTGTGCATTGTTTTTTTTCTAGATTCTGCCAGATTACTATTTTTTTTAAATAACAGTATACAAATTCACCTTTTTCAGTGTGGAGTATTGTAAATTTAGGGAAATTGTTACAATCATAGAACCATGATCACTAACAAAATATATTTCCCCACCCCAAAGTCCTACGTGTTCCTCTTGTGGTCAACATTTTCCCTACTGCCAGTCCCAAGCAACCACTGATCACTTTTGATGCCTACAGTTTTTACTTTTCACTTTTGTAGAATGTCAAATAGATGGAACCATAGACTATGTAGCCCCTTGAATTTGGCTGTTTCAGTTAGCATGATGCATTTGACACTTATCTATGTTGTTGTGTGTATTAGTAGTTCCTTCCTTTTTTTTTTTTTTTTGAGACAGTCTCACTCTGTCACCCAAGCTAGAGTGCAGTGGCACAATCTCAGCTCACTGCAACCTCCTCCTCCCAGGATCAAGTGATTCTTGTGCCTCAGCCTCCTGAGTAGCTGGGATTACAGACGTGCACCACCAGGACTGGTTAGTTTTTGCATTGTTAATTAGTAGAGATGGGGTTTTGCCATGTTGGCCAGTCTGCTCTCGAACTCCTGACATCAGGTGATCTGCCTGCCTTGGCTTCCCAAAGTACTGGGATTACAGGTGTGAGCCACTGTGCCTGGTCCATTCCTTCTTAATGAGGGATTGTATTCACCTGTTGGTGAAGAAGTGAGGCTTAGAAACTCCTTCAGAATGTAGCAGGAGGCAAAGTGGTAAGTTAGGAGCTAGCAGTCTCATGAGAAAGAGCCAGACAACTTGTGGCTTGGGATCCAAAGGCCACCAAGTAGCTATCTTTGCTTAATCTTGTTGAGCCTCGCTTTTCATCTGCAAAATGGGAATAATACTGACCTCTCAGGGCATATGTGAGAAGTTAGAGAGCGCATACCTCACCTGGAATATAGTCTTCACTTAACAAATCCTGGGCCGGGAGTGGTGGATTACTGGGATCATGCCTGTAATCCCAGTTCTTTGGAAGGCTGGGGCAGACTAGGTCAGGACTTTGAGACCAGTCTGGCCAAGTTAGTGAAACCCTATCTCTACTAAAAATACAAAGATTATCCACGCATGGTGGCATGCACCTGTAGTCCCAGCTACTTGGGAGGCTAAGGCAGAAGAATTGCTTGAATCTGGGAGGCGGAGGTTGTGGCGAGCTGAGATCATGCCACTGCACTCCAGTTTGAGCAATAGAAGGAGACTCCCTCTCAAAAAACAAAACAAAATCCTGGCCCCTCCTTCCCACTCTTCTCCAGACGGAAAGGGAGACATGTGCTCTGCACCTCTTTGCAGTTTAGTTGCTGAACTGAACACTGGCTGAAACTTTAAGCTCTTTTTCATTGTTTCAAATTATGCCAGTGGACTATGAGGATAGACTATTTCATTACAAAGACATCTGAATTTGGGGTCAACCTATCTGTGTTCAGTTGATGAGGTTCTTATAACCTTGAAACACTTACATCCTTTTTTTGTGACACACACACACACAAACACACACTGAAGATAATAATTATAACACAGTGTTGTAATGATTAGTTTTGGCAATATATAAAAAATTTTTTGGTAAATGGCACATGCTTTGTCAATAGATATTCATACATTGTATTTACATCAATATTTCATTTTTACCCCAAAATAGCTTTTATCTTATTTCTAAGAATTTTCTATAGCACTGGCTATAATATCTGTGTATATACAAATGAGTAGCATGTAGTTGAATAAAATTAATTCTACTTAGCCAAAGCTTAATTATTATTTCAAAACAGAACTTGAATACAGTGGTAACATGCATGTCTATTGTATACTGTGCATCGTTTTCAGGTAAACTGCACAGTCACCTGAGATCTAGCCGGCTGACACTGGATGTCACCATTGTGCTGTGTAATGTAGCTGCAGAACAGGTGTGCTATTAGTATTCAGGACACGGTTAGTCTTACCAGGGTTTGGAAATACGTTCACTGTTTTCCCTCATAGAACCGAATTATCTTTGTGGCACTTTTGTAGTAACATTTTCAGTTTCTAATATCCAAGCTCTATAAAATCGGGATCAAAAATGAACAAATAATCCGATAGAACCAGGAAATGAAGACCTGAAAACTCAGAAACTGCTAAAACCAAGCAGGGCTCTCGATTGCAACCCGGAGTAATTGACTCTGGCCGACTTAGTAGAAGAATAATTTACTGAGAGGATATAGAGCAGCTACTGGAATTGATGGGAATGTTGAAAAACTAGGTTTGGAAAATGGGAGGATCTCATATGCTAGGACACCAGTGAAATCAGACTGTGGGATGAGGGGGTTAGGATCCTCCTGACACAGCTACTAGCCACTGGATACTGCCACTGAATTTCCTGCCACATGGACAAGAAGCACCACTCTGCATCAGAGACTCCTTGCTTTCCTGAATAACGACTGGATTTCCACTGCCGCCAGCTCCAACCAGCCAGATGGCCAGTCCCTGAGTTGCACTTCCAGCACGGGCTCTCATTGGCTGATTCTAGGTGTTGTACCTGTGCTCCAGCTCCAGGGAGTGAGCATGAACAAGGGACCTTTCCTGCAAGACTCATACAGACGGTGCCTCAGCATATCTGGGAAGGAGATTCAAGTGCTACCTAGCCAAAATCTGCCAGACATCCAGCATGGTGCTTTTCAATCAGCAGACCCCAGCAGTGAGTGGAGAATACCTCTGTGCAGTCAATCAGACTTTGTTGCCCTTTTTCTGGGCAGACCTGGGGTCAGTTGTTTCCACTTTTGCAGTACCTGACAGCTTCACTCTCTTTGCTTCAATCCTGGGGATCCATAATAGCAACGGCTAGACCTGTTTTAATGTGGCCAAGGAGACAACTCCTTAGACAAACTGGAAGTCTCAAAAAGCTTAGGTAAAAAAGAAAAAGATTTTGCAACATTAAAAGAAAAGAAAATGGTAGGCTTTGCTGTGTGCAGTGGTGTTTTTAGAACACTGCTCTAGAGGCTGGGCATCGTGGCTCACACCTGTAATCCCAACACTTTGGGAGGCCAAGGTGGGTGGATCATTGAGGCCAGGAGTTTGAGACCAGCATGGCCAACATGGTGAAACCCTGTCTCTACTAAAAATACAAAAAAAAAAATTAGCTGAGTATGGTGGTGCACCTCTGTAATCCCAGCTAATTGGGAAGCTGAGGCACAAGAATCTCTTGAGTCGCAGAGGTTGCAGTGAGCTGAGATTATGCCACTGCACTCAAACCTGGGCAACAGAGTGAGACTTTGTCTCAAAAGCAAAACAAAACAGAAACCACTACTCTAGGCACATGCCAGTTTCTGCTCTTGCTTTCCCATTTGCCTGGAACTCTCTTCTCCTAGATCCGGGAAGCCACATGGCTTGCACCTTACTTTCTCAATCTTTTGCTCAAATACTGCTTCCTCAGATCAGCTTTCCTCACCACTCATATAGAATAATGTCTCCTTTTACCCTGGGTCCCCTGATCTGCTTTTCTTCACGTCACTCATCACAACCTTCTTTAGACCCCCTCTATATTTACTTGTGGTTTAATGTCTGCCTCTCCCTCTGTACTGAAAATCCCATGAAATTAGGGTCTTTGGCTCAGTCCTGTAGCCACAGCTCCTAACACAGTGGCTTTCAATAAATATTTACTCTCTCAATATATGAATCAAGGGTTAAGTAAAGCAAGGAAACATCCTTGTTACAGTCTCTAGAATATCAACAGTGTCTGTGATCCTTTTCTAGGGGTGCTCTAACAAAATACCACCCATGGTGTGGCTTGAATATGGAAATGGATCATCTCTGAGTTCTAAAGCCTAGAAGCTTGAGATCAATGGGTCTACATGGTTAGTTCCCCTTGAGAGCTGTAAGAGAGATCTGTTTCTTGCCTCTCCCCTGCTTGGTGGTTTGCTAGTAATCTTTGGTGTTCCTTGGCATGTACAAGCATCAGTAGATCTCTGCCTTCATTTTCGCAGGGGATTCGGTGTTCTCATCTCTGCCATGCCTCTCTTGATAAGCACATCAGTCATATTGGAGTAGGGATCCACCCTACTGCAGTATGAGCTCATGTTTACTTAACTAACGACATCTGTAAAACCCTATTTCCAAATAAGGTCCCATTCTGAGAAACTAGGGGTTAAGACTTTAACATAAAATTAGAGGGAGGACACAATTCAACCTGTAACAGGTGCTTGTGTATGTTTACTGTATAATACTTCTGCTATTTTCATGTCATTAACTAGAGCATGAGGTATAGTTAGATTCTCTTGGGTGCCTGGTGGTGTGATGGTTTATCACTTGGATTACAATTCACAATAACGTGTGTGCATTGTTTTGTAGATTGTAAACTCTTCATTAGATGTTAGCATCATTGATTGAGGAAACTGAAAAATTATTGGGGCACTAGCAATAAGGAATTTGTACCATGGATTTGCTAGTCTGAAAGTCCCCCACAGCAGTTTTCCTTCATAGGCCGGTTCAGTCCACAGGTTATTTAAAATATAACCTGTTTCTTTCCTGCGAGAAAGAAAACTATTCAGATTGCTTGTCAGCCTTAATGGTGAATAATGGTTTCATATTTTATGTACTCATTTGACAAATATGTACAAATCATTTATTATATATGTGCTGTTATAAGTGCTTGACAAATATTAACCAATGAACAACCCCACATTGATTATTGTTAATAATATTATTTTCATTTTACTGTTAAGGAAACTGAGACACAGAGAGGTTAAGGGACTTGGCAGAGGTCACACAGGTATGGAGTGGCTGAATGGGGCCATGAGACCAGGCAGGCTGCCTCTAAACTGTTTCAGCTGTGGAATCTTCTTTCTTCACAGAAAACCTCATGGAAAAATTCAGTGTATGTGACAGAACAAAGCAAAGCTGCTGTGGTTGAAGCTGAGGTGACAGAGTCCTGTCTATTCAGCAGTCCTCGGCCTCCTCCCTGGAAGCCCTGTTTGCAAGGCCCTTGTCTAGGAAATACCTCCTCTTGGCCTAATGCCACCTGTAAGCTGTCTTCAGTCCATTCTAGCATAAAACAAACAAAAGTCTTTCCTTACTTTAATTAACTGATTGTGATTTATTTTGAAACTTTCATCTCCTTAATCTACTTCTGGCTGAAATAAAATGCTAACATGGATTTTCTCCAGGATAGTAATGCCACATGGCAATTTGGACTCTGTTGGCTTATGTTCCCCTTGGGTTTCTTTACACGAATCAGGGACTGTGGGTGCAAAAGTTTTCTGAACCAAAGAGAGAAATGGAACTTAACTTCATGTGGATATAGTTATAAAGCTTTGTAAACAGATAGATGTGAACTACCTGCCCTACTTGTCTTCTGTGGCTATTGATAACATAAAATAACAGGGGCAACACTATTGACAGTGACTGTTCATTGAGTGCTTTCTGAGAGCAGGCATTAAAAAAAACAACAACTCATTTTCATATCTCTAGGTGTTATCACCCCTACTGACAGCTATGTAAGTGAAGACTAAGGTTTTATGCAACTTGTTTAAGATGGCCCAACAAGTGAGTGGAATAGGTGGATGATTTCAGAAATATCAGTGATCAAGAAGCAAAATTCCTTGATTTTAAGAACAAAAGATACATAAGAGAGAATATTTTAAGATAAAAGATGTAAGCCTTGATGCAATTTTTAAATTGGCCATTCATTCCTATGATAAAATACCTCTTATCATTTGTTAGTGTACACATTGCATAATATACTAAAAGGGAAATGAAAGTAAATCAATTGAATAGGACTGTAGATCAAGACTACGGTACTGGAGGGAAAAAACTAACTCAGGCCAGATTGACTGCTTTGTTTGCCACTGTTTTCCCACTGGTCCTTCCCCCACGCCTTGCCAATCCCTAACCCAGAGGTCGGCAAACATATCCTCTAAAGGGCCAGATAGGAAATACCTTAGGCATTGCTTGCCGCATACTTTCTCTGTCACAACTACTGAACTCTGCTGTTTGTGGTACCAAAGCAGCATAGACGATATGATACATGAATGGGTGTGTGGTGCTAGAGTAAAACTTTATTTATGGGCACTACATTCGAACTTCACATAATTTTCATGTGTCATGAAATGTCCTTTTATTTTTTTCCAAACATTTTTATGAATACTCAATTTGAAATTCATGTAATTTTCATGTGCCATGAAATGTCATTCTTCTTTTGATTTTTTGTTTACCCATGCAGAAATGTAAGAACCATTCTTAGCTCCGAGGCTGTACAAACAGGAGAGAAATCAGATTGAGCTCCCAGGCTGGGGTTTGCTGACCCCTATCCTGACCTGACCATCCTCCCTCTGGTTTTCAAGCACACTGGGTATTGTCCCTGTGGGTGTCTCCTCTTACTTCAAGCATTTAAATGTTGTTTTGTACCAAGATCTTAATCCCGGAAAAGACTTCAGAGGACCCAGTAAGAGACGTCCTTCCACTCACATTTTGCAAAAGCCCACTTGCAGAGTTGCTGCTGCCAAGTCAACTTCAGCCGAAACAAATATTTAATAGAAGCCATAGCTGCTAAGAGGATTTGTACTAAAATGGAAAATTCTTGACATACTCTGTCAATTTCATTGAAGATTAAAGGATAAATTCAGGACTTTTGTAGTATTCCCAGAAGCTATCTTGTTTCCAAATGATACCCTCAAATATGCAAATTCGTTGTGTTTTTTTTTTGCAGCCTAGGTCATTGTTAGATTTTAAATATTTTGTTATTATTTTTCTCCAGGGAAGCCACTCTTAATATGACGGAACATCTCTGAACTTCTAAAAGACCAATGTTTGAGTTTTAGCTCTATGAATTTTACTTAATCTTTGGTAAGTTCATGCCACCATGGGAGTGGAGTTTTGGCTTCTTATCAGTAACATGGTATTAATAATCCTACCCCCAGGGCTTTTTATTACAGTTTACTTATTAGTTATTTACTATTTATTATAGAAATTTCAAACAAACCCAAAATACATAGAGGAATGTAATGAACCCTACAGACTTATTGCCCAGTTTCAATTGTTTTCTATATTTTGCTAAACTTCCTTACTCTTTATCCTCTTCTCCTTTTTATCTCACTCTTTGAGTTTTAAAGCAGTTCCAAATGTAATGCCATTTCACCTGCAAATATGTCAGTAGGTGTCACTAATAGATACAACCCTTTTAAGGAATGTCATAATTATCACAGCTAGCAAAATTATAATTCTTTTACATCATATATTATCCAGTTAGTCTCAAAAATGTCCTTACACAGTTGGGTTTATTTTGAATCAAAATCTAAACAAGATTCATATTTTGCATTTGGTCCTACATCTTTTAAGATCCTTAATTTATGTTAAGATTGATTAATGGGGTCTCTAAGGTTAAGTTTCCTTGTTAAATATTCACTAATGTTTTTAGCTTTAGGTATGATGCTTAGGTTTTTTACTTCATAAGGTGTTGTAAAATACATGTTTTCCAATTTTATCAATGCCTTTTAATTTATTCGCTGGAATTCCATAAAAAACTTTCCCTCATCAACTACTTGGCTACTATGAAATATAGTTCGTATATTAAATGCTTGTTTCTTTTATTTGCCAGTTTTATTTTTTTATTAATTTTACTTTAGGTTCTGGGGGTAGTATACTTTTAGTCCACGTGCACTGAGTTGTTCCTTATGTGCTTCTGAAGGTGGAGAGTGAGTACTATGGTTGTTGTGGGTTTTTCCTTCAGCCATCATCAGTTCAGGGATTTAACGTTTTTGATAAGTTTCAACCCATCACATTCTTTTTTAGGATGCGTTTTGTGTCTTATTCAAATAGTATTTGATTACTTTTTTGCTTGCGGGCATGACCAGATCTCTTAGGCTCACTTTATATATATCTTCCCCCAGACCTGGATCAGCCAAGAAGCCCTAGCTTCTTTTTAGTAGGATACGATATTCAAAGACCACAATCTGGCCACTAGGGTTGCTAATTGCTACTATTTCTAAGTTTCTCGGTGAATAGAGATAGAATATATGTATCTATATAATATATATATATATATTAAAGAAAAATAAATCATTGTTTTCTACCTCCTGGGTTCAAGTGATTCTCATGTCTCAGCCTCCCAAGTAGCTGGGATTACAGGTGTGCACCACCATACCCAGCTAATTTTTGTATTTTTAGTAGAGATGGGGTTTCACCATGTCGGTTAGGCTGGTCTCAAACTCCTGACCTCAGGTGATGGGTCCGCCTTGGCCTCCCAAAGTGCTGGGATTACAGATGTGAGCCACCATCCTCAGCTTTCAGCTTCACCTAACATTTGTGTTTTATATTTCATTTTTTCTTTTATGCTAAATAGCTTGATTCTTCATGATGTTAACACAATTACCTGTTGGCTTTATTTTATAGTGTGAACCTGTGTACATACACACACACACACACAGAGTTCACAGTTCAAAAGAGCAATACCAGTATTTCCACTAACAATATGAGTGAATACAGTTTAAGATTGTTTGTTATTATTTTTGTTTTAGAATATAGCACGCTAGGGATAAATAGTCCCTAGTATGTCATTTTTAATCACATGAAAAAATTCTTGTGGTTACAGAACTTGATATATGGATGTATTTATTTATTTCATTTCATCTTTATTTTGGATGATTACTTTTTCTATCAGTTTTATTTTATAGTTAGATAAAATATATACATGGTTTAGTATTAAAACATTAAGACACGGATTTCTTCCTTCCATTCATATTTCCTGCCCTTCCTATAGAAAATATATTACATATTCTTTTCTACTCTATGCTTTTTCATGAGATAATAATACATCCTAGTGATGACTCCATAGCCGTTGATAGTTTATTTAATCTATCCTCTTTTTGCTGGCACGGGATTTTTCCAGTCTTTTACTGTTAGTTCTCCTAATAGTAAATAGCCTTTACAGACTGTGTATGAAGGTACACACACACAAGACATAATTTTGTTAAAATTCTATTAATTCCACACACATTTATTACATACTTTCAATGTGTTAGAGTATAAACCTCATTCCTACTCCTGAGATTTTACAGTCTGAGATGATACTGAATACAAAGAAAAATTTCAGATTTTACCTTCTTAGATTATTTAAATGTTAATTTTTTAAATTAATGATTTCTTCAGATGATATTGCTTCATATTAAATTAATTCCTGGATTTATGAATACATACAGATACCAATGAAGTACAGCTTTTCTGCTGTATTTGACGATAGTGATAAAACAACTTATTTCAGTTTATGAACCACAAATCATGCAATCAAAACAGTCTGTTTTGCTTAGCTGATTTATGTTTTTCTAAAACCAGAATTCACAATGACAACAGTGACAGTGACCACAGAAATTCCTCCAAGGGATAAGATGGAAGATAATTCTGCCTTGTATGAGTCTACATCTGCTCACGTTATTGAAGAAACCGAGTACGTGAAAAAGGTATGTGGGTAGCAGAAATCATTAGTATGATATGATTTTTTAAAGATGAATTCACATATGGGCTGGAGGACTTTGTTTCCCTCTCCATATATGTAACGGGACACATGTAAAGGAACAATTCTAATTTGGCAAAGGACAGTCTTCCTAGGTGAAATTTAAACTCAGGTTTAGTCATTTCTCTTGAGGATATGAAACTGTTCCTACACTTGGAGTAAAATGCTTTTCCTCACTCAGTAAAATTGAATGATGGGCCAGGAGGGTTCAGAACACCTATCAGCACTTAATTTGTCCCACACTATTCACCACTGGATTTCCTACTGTTTTCTAATGTTTTCCAGTGGTTTCATGAGTGTTGATTATGTTCCCAAGTAGCTGTTTATATTTCCTGCTGAGTTGGTGCCTCTCCTTACCTTGTTCCTTTTCACAGTTCATGGTAACTGTGGGTTGGCATGTCACTTCATTAAACATGTGAAGTCTTATGAGAATCCAAGATGATAATGGCTGACAGAAGTATATATTCTTAACTTTTTCTTAGAAAGATGTTTATTAAGCACTTACAATGTGCTAGAGTAGGCTGGGCACAGTGGCTCACACCTGTAATCCCAGCACTTTGGGAAGCTGAGATGGGCAGATCACCTGAGGTCAGGAGTTTGAGACCTGCCTGACCAACATGGCAAAACCCTGTCTCTACTAAAAATACAAAAAAATAGCCATGCGTGCTGGTGGCCAGCTGTAATCCCAGCTACTCGGGAGGCTGAGGCAGGAGAATCGCTTGAATCCGGGAGGTGGAGGTTGCAGTGAGCTGAGATCAAGTCATTGCACTCCAGCCTGACCAACAGAGAGAGACTCCTCAAAAAAAAAAAAAAAAAAAAAAAATGTGCTAGAGTATAAACCTGGCTCCTACTCTTATAGCCTTATAGTCTAAAAGGACACTGAATAAAAAGAGAAATTTCACATTTTACCTTTTTGGATTATTTAATTATTTAACTAAATAATGGACAAATTCTGGCATAGTTCATAACTTGTTCAGATCAATTATTTCCATCGTTTTTGAGTGTCTTGCAATTCCATGGGTCGTCAAGACATGGGGCTTATATTTCATGCATAAATGTATATGATCTCTCAGGAATTATTCTGTAGTAATTACTTAATAGTAATTATTTTGTAGTAATTACTAGGTAGTAATTATTTTGTAGTAATTAGTAGATAGTAATTATTTTGTAGTGACTACTAAGCGGTAGCGGTAATTGTTTTATAGTAATTACTAAACAGTAAATTAGTACTAAATTACTAAAAAGACAAAACAGAACTAAATTGTATTAGGTACTAATTACTAAATAATAATTGTTTTGGGGATAATATTCACTTAAGTGATCATATTTTAGATTTGTCTGAGAAAGAGTTCTAAAGATCAAATGCTTACTTTAAGCAATCTAAACAATATTAGCCTAAATGCAAGTTAGGTTGATGGTGGCAGTTATTTAAATCTGAGATCAATATATGTATATATGCATTACTTTCTAGATAATCAGGTACCCTGTACGTGGTATTGAGAAAAAAGCCTTTGGTATTAAATGCCTTTGAAACAGATAAAATGTTTTTTTTTTTCTTCTGTAGATACGAACTACTCTGGAGAAGATCAGAACCCAAATATTTAAAGATGAAGTAAGACATAATAGTACAAATCACAGTCTAGACACAAAGGTAATAATTTCCTTGTGAAGATTCGCATAAAGCCAGTTGGACTTCTTAAAGTAAATTTTTGGGCAATTACTAAGTTCTCTGATGCTTCGAAGGATGAGTGTTGAAGTATTTCATGCATATCTAAAGATGTTAATGATCATATGTGTGAAATGTTTAACCATGAATGTTATGAGTAAGATCAAATTGGAATGGCTAGGCCTTACTTGAATATATTAAACAAAGCTTACTTATCTAAAGTGAATGAGAAGATGTCAGCCCAGCCAAGATCGATGACAGTGATGTTTCCCAATGACAGGCAGAGCTTTTAGGCTCACCTGGGCCACACGAATAGACATACACAGTTGAAGCTTTTAGGCCTGAGTTGAGTAACTACTTTGTCAGATAGCTGATAAGCTTGAATGTGCTCCCTTCTACAATATCAGCTTTATATACATAAAGTCGAGCCTGTACTTAGCATTGTCTGGATTACACCAGGCTAAACCTCATCTGTGCCAAGTGTACTTCATTAGTGTTGTCCACTGGAAGGCAAATGAGGAAAGGGTTTCATAAGCTAAGATGAGGCTGGTGGATTAGGAGGAAAAGAAGGAGATTTTAGGGTTCTAGGATAGAGCTAAGGTGCTGCATTTCATTTGTTTGTTTGTTTGTTTGAGACGGAGTTTCACTCTTGTTACCCAGGCTGGAGTGCAATGGCACGATCTCAGCTCACCACAACCTCTGCCTCCTGGGTTCAGGCAATTCTCCTGCCTCAGCCTCCTTAGTAGATGGGATTATAGGCACGTGCCACCAGGCCCAGCTAATTTTTTGGTATTTTTTATAGAGACGGGGTTTCACCATATTAACCAGGATGGTCTTGGTCTCTTGACCTTGTGATCCACCTGCCTCGGCTTCCCAAAGTGCTGGGATTACAGGCCACTGCTCCCGGCCTGCATTTCTAACAAACTTCTGCTGATGCTGAGCTGCTGGGACTGTAGACCAACACTTGAGGGTAGCAAGGCCCTAGATTATTATGGTGAAACCTCTACAGGGCCAGAGGGTGATGATTAGAAGTGTGGTTGATCTGCTGACCTTTCATGGTTTAGAGCTACTCCTGTCAAGGTTACTTCAGCAGGAGTCACTGAAGGCAAATGAGGAAAGTGTTTCAGAAGTGGGGCGGGACGCCTCTGTCAAATGCTGTCTATGGGCCAAGAAAATTGAGGACTGAATGCCAACCGTTGGATGTAACAATGTGGAGCATATTGGTGGCTTGATAGGAGTGGCTTCATGGGAATGGTGACGACAGTGTGTTGCCATGTATCTGTCTTAGCCGCCTCAAACCACAGAAGGTCAGCAGATCAACCACGCATCAAAACATCAGCCTTCTGGCCCTGTAGGGATTTGGCCAGAGTGACCTAGGGCCTCGCTACTCTCAAGTATGCTCTGCAGTCCCAGCAGCTCAGCATCACCAGAAATTTGTTAGAAATGCAGCATCTAAGCTCTACTCCAGGACCACTGATTCAGAATCTGCATTTTTTTTTTTAGAGACCGAGTCTTGCTCTGTCACGTAGGCTAGAGTGCAGTGGCATGATCTTGGCTCATTGCAACCTCAGCTCCTGGGTTCAAGCAATTCTCCTGCCTCAGCCTCCAGAATAGCTGATACTACACGTGCATACCAACACTCCTGGCTGATTTTTGTATTTTTAGTAGAGATGGGGTTTCACCATGTTGTCCAGGCTGCTCTCAAACTCCTGACCTTGTGATCCACCCACCTCAGCCTCCCAAAGTGCTGGGATTACAGGCATGAGCCACCCCACCATGACCGGTCAGAATCTGCATTTTTAACCAGATCTATCACCCAGTAATTCACAGGCACATTGAAGTTTGAAAAGCACTGATCAATGATCTTTGTAGCCATCTACCACTGCTGATAATCTACCTTCTTCTACAAGAGATTTTCTGTCAAATATTCTTTAACAAATTAAAAAAGAAAATTATTCCTATTCTATATATGGAGAGTGGGAACATGCACTAGGGCCTGGACTATAAAAAACAGAACTGTGGCAGAGTTACAGTGAGGGAGGATGCTATCCACATGCACTATGTTCTTTGTGTTTTTTATTTCTGCAAGTGTAGTTATACTGTAGTGAAAAGAACATATATTTTGCTATTAAACAAACTGGGATTCTAATTCTGATTTGGCAGTTGCTTTAGGTATAATCTTAGGTATGTTAGTTAAATTCTCATCTTCAAATTCCTCACCTGTGGAAAGGGCGTAGTACCTTTCAGTGATTTGAGCATTCAGACAAAAGACAGTACGTAAAACATCTAAAAGATGACCTGGCACATAACAGGTGTTTAACAAATAGAAGTTGTTATTATAATTGTGGGGTATGTGTAATTGTGTAATAGTTTCTCTGTTTTGAAATAAATTGAAAGAACGGGCACACAGTAACTATTTAAGAGGCTGTGACATGAGGTCTCTTGCTCATTTGCTGCATAAACTTGGACCCTGGTCCTCAGTTTCTACATCTGTAAAATGGACAGGTTAAGTTAGATGGTTTCTAATTTCTTTTCCACTTTAGTCTGTGCACAATTCCAGATGAGATTTATGCTCCAAGTATATTTTCAGTGAGCTAGAGCTTACATCAAGTTATAATGGAAGTGCCATTCAGTTCGGATATCTCTGATTGGAAATTTAATATGAGGAAATTACAGTGAAACACGACCAAACATTGACTATTATGTATTGCAACTATTAGGTCTGACTGTATTAGTCTATAATGCAATGTAACCAAAATGGAATTATGTCCACAACTTAGATTTTTAAAACTATCTGGCCTTGCGGATGTTATTTATCTCCTCAAAAGCACTTATCAGTATATGTGAAACTATAGAAAATATAAAAGTTAAAATGTCATTCTACCGCTTCCAATATAAGAATCTGTTCAAATTTGAGCAAATATAGAAGTCAGATGTTTCATCTAGAATTTTCCATTGCTATTTGGGATTCAAAAGATGTATATTTATGCTGACCTGAAGCCTCTTTGATATATCTAACACTGAATGATCATTATTGTTGTCAAAGTTTGTAGAGGAAAAAATAGTCAGATTTTCATGTTTGTCCATTTCAGTGCTGTGGAAATCTTCAACAGGGCTCTCATTCTGAAATGGATCCTTCTTGTTGCAGTTTGGATTTGCTTATGAAAAAGATCAAAGGAAAAGACCTACAGCTCTTAGAAATGAACAAAGAGAATGAAGTATTGAAAATCAAGGTATCACTGTTAGAAGTTTCAAATTTTGTGTTTTGAGCCTTTGGGCTAATAGAGTGTGTTGTTAGTGTTCATGGCTCTGTAAAAGCAGAGATGTCCATACATATCCATAGGTCCCCCTGTATGCTCCCTTCCCTGGAGAAGGATTTTTATATTTCACAAATCATATCTCACTGTTTTATTGTTGAGGCTTCTTTTGTTATTGAAAATATCTTACAAAAGTTCAAGTTATACCATTTTAGTCATGCAAGATGAATAAGTTCTAGAAATCTACTGCATAAGGTTATGCTTATAGTTAACAATACTATACTATACACTTAGTAGATTTCATGTTAAGTGTTCTTATCACAATCCGCAATACATTTTAAAAAGTGTGTTCGTATTTAATAAATATTAACTATAGCCTTCATGGTAAAATGCCACAATATTCTTTAAATTTGTCTATTGCTGAATGCTTTTGATCTTCCTCTTTAAAGGCTTATTTTATATGCAGTCCTGCAATGAATATCTTGGTAGGGAAATCTTTACAGTCATCCTTGACTGTTTCCTTAGGTTAAATCCTGGAAAGATTCATGACATTTTAGCATCATTGCCCTCAATACTTTAAACTTGCCCCACTTCTATTTCAGGAAGATACACTTTTTAATACTGTTATGGACATTAATGATAAAAGGCTTGCAAATAAGTGTATAAGCTGACAGAGCACCATAGAGTTATTTGAACGGTGAGGAGTATATCTGCAGGGCATTGCTGTGGAGTGAGCTCTGCTTTGGTTTGACTATGGCAAATCTGCCTGTTCAACCGAAGAGGGAAATTAATAATTAACAATTGCTGTACAATAAGGCAAAATTTACTGTGTTGTGTTTAAGATGAAACTTCCTCCCCTCCCCGACTCTGCTTAAAATTAACTAACTCTCTGTAAACCATTCAACCTTATCTATCCTCCCCACATTCTTAGCAAAGTTCCCAGGCATCCGGAAGTTCCTATTTTTCTTGCTGACCACCTGCAAGGTCACAGGGCAAATAAAACCTAAAGAATGTAAAACGTGTTTCTTAACATGTTATTTTTCAAATGTAAAGCACGTCGCAAGACATGTCACAGGATTATTAACTGCTCTTTGTTCTTAGTTCTGTAAAATCACTTCCTGCTTCATCATCTTGTATCACAAAAGTACTTAAAAGGCCCTCAGTTTCTTTGTACCTTGCTCAGGCTTAGGAAGCAATTCCACTGAGCCCGTAATCACATTAAATAAAATCCTCCAGCTTCCCCATTGGTCTCTCCAAGTCTCTAATTTCCTGCTTCACAGCAGCTCCTCTAAATAAGGAGTTTCTCATTGTACATTTTCCTCTTACCAGGTAACAGTGTCCTCTCTCCTATCCATTTTCTATGAGGCTGTACATGTGTAGTTACAACCTTGGTGTTCTTAATTGCCCATCAAACTGTTCTGCCTTTAACACTTTTTGTTGTAAATGTCAGAACATACATAGTGACCTTTTTTCTAGCTGGAAGCCTCCAGAGAAGCAGGAGCAGCAGCTCTGCGAGATGTGGCCAGGAGATTATTTGAAAACTACCAAACACAATCTGAAGAAGTGAGAAAAAAGCATGAGGATGGTAAATACTTACTCCAGGTACTGAACACGCAGCTTGTCTATTGGAGAACTCGCCCCAACCCCAAGTTGTTCAAGTTCATCTTTCTGGAAGAATTAGAAATGAAACAAGCAATGGCCAAGTGACCTGGCAGAAGACTTGGAGAAGGAGCCGTGGGCTAGTCTTTTTTGCCGATTTCCCTCACACTGTGTAGCTCAACACCCCAGATGTTGCTTTGCTGCTGTGTCTCAATTCTTACCCAGAGCCCCCAAGAACACAGGTGGGAGGGAGGCAGCACCACCCTGCCTGGAAATCTGGGCTGGCCCTGCAGAGCCTGGCTGGTAACTTCCCTTCAGGCTCTGTTGTTGACTCGCTAGGTGACCCAGACTAAGCCATTCTTTCTGGACTTGGATGTCTCTGTCTCTAGAGTGAAAGACACATAGTTTCAAACTTGTTTTGGTCTTAGGATACATACTTCAGATTAAAAAAAATAGAAAACAAAAGTATGTACGTATATATAGTTAAAAAATACTTAAGGTTATCTATTTTAATATTTTAATATGTAAATATATATAAATGTTAAAAATAAAAAGACATGTACATACCCTCATGCATATTCTTTTTTGTTCATTTGCTTTTAAATCTGAAGTATATATACTAGGACCAATAAAATCTGTCTGAAAAATATATTCTAGAACTGGAAGAGTCAAAAATGTGTGTGTGTCTGTGTGCGTGTGTGTCTGTATGTGTTTGCCAACATTAAAAATATAAAACAGCTAATCGGAAAGTTCATTCATAACAGTTTGGGGCACCCAGGTGTCTGTCAGCTCAGGCTATAGGAGGGTCTCTGGGGAGTACAGTAGGAAATTCACTGCCTAAGTGACACCCTTTCATGCTGCAGGCTGTGTTAGTGATAGTTGCAAACTCACTTGCATGCAGGGTGCAGTTGAAAAACATAGGTGGGAAGTGGATGAGGGGCCCTATGTGATGGTGGTGCTTGTGGGGACGGTAAGCATGCATCCCTGTAATGTGGGCTCAGCCCCAGGCCGGAGTGACCTGACAGGAAGGCCCACTTGGTATTTACAAGGGAAGCCAGACACTTACTTTTCCCTGTGAAGTGTCAAGCTTTGTTACATACACATGCAGAAGAGTAAGAAGTTAGTTGACACAGTCGCACTGTGGCCTGCTGCCTGCTAGACGGAGACTTCTCTCCTATGATCGTCAGCCCTACCCGTCCTCTGTGCCTATGAAGTAGCACCGTGATACAGTGAGGAGACTTATTCTGCTTTCATGACACTTCCTGATTAAAAATAAAACATGTTTTCATTGAACATGTAAGTTTTTTGTGTTGTTCTGGATAACATCAGGGGAAATACTCAATGTGGATGACTGGTTGATGGGTGCAGCAAACCACCACAGCATATGTATAACTGTGTGACCTGCACGTTCTGCACATGTACCCCAGAACTTAAAGTATAATAAAAAAATTTGCTTTTCTTAAATTAGTATCTTTCTTTCTCATACCAGTTCAGGAAGTATGCTTTATGGCAACAAATGTAAACATTCTAGGAAGAATATTTATACATTATTAATTCTCGATTTAATGTTGTTGCAGTCTATCAGGGTTATTTTGAAGGAAACGCGGATATCAAAAGAATAATTCTAAATAAGTATGAATTTGGAATTTTTTTGGCTAATTAGAAAATTATAGGAAGAGGTAATATGTGTAAAGGTTAAATAAAAACCGAGTTTTCTCAACACAACTGTTTCTCTGACCATAGGTTAATAAGATTGAAAAAGAACAGAAATTGAAACAACATGTTGAAAATCTGAATCAAGTTGCTGAAAAACTTGAAGAAAAACACAGTCAGATTACAGAATTGGAGAACCTTGTACAGAGAATGGAAAAGGTACGCCCCTGGAGAATTAGGGGATTTTCTTACCGACATAGTTAAGATGAGAAAGAAATAAAATAACACTAAAATAAATAGGACATTAATTTAAATAAGATAATATTAAGTGAAAGTGTTCTTTACAATTCTTGGCCTTAGGAAGTATTTAATTTTATTTTTTTCCCTTAAACATTTCATATGATCTGTACTGTAGGGATTGATTTACCTTCTGCAAATACTGTAGTCATATCATTTGTCACATTCTCTTTCTAGGAAATACATGACTTTGAAAGGGGATCCAGGTGAGGCTGTGAATGCAAATAATGGAAAAGATCACAAAGTCCATCTACTAGGAGCAATATGGCAGGTCCTTGTAATCACAGCATTTTAATGTGCAGTATGCATTTTGGCACATTAAAATGTTTGTAAAAACCTATGGCTGTACTGGGAGAGGTTCGGTTAACATTAAGAAAATCCATTCTATGGAAACTGGAACTTTAAGAAGGCATATTTAGAGAAGAGTAGTAATAGAACAAAAATGATAAAATGTTTCACGCAATGTTCATTTAAGGAGCTAGCACTCCAAATATACATAAAAGGTAAACACGTAAACTTGTGTATGCATGCCTTAGAATTTAGAATTTGGACAAATCAAGGAATAGTTTTTTAAATAGCAAAACAAAGAGAAAACTGGCATCTCTGAAATGGAATTGGACTTAGAGAAGAATGTAGGTTTTGGCTTCTAGTAACTCTTGCCTAATACATTTTCTTATATTTATTGTATTTGCCTCTGTTCTTTTTAGCTTTGTTTTATTATTCTGCCTGGGTTTATGCCATTTTATAAACGTCATTTCAAAAACATCACATTTCAATATTCAGGTTTCTTACCAAAGGAACTTTGATTTGTTTAAAAATATTTCCCAAGAAATTAAAGTTTTATAACATTGTGATTTGGTTGAATTTATAGTCTTTGTGATGTTCTATGAAGAAATCGCAAAAATTAAATATGCTCGTTTATCAAGTGGTTCTATGATGATATTCAGCTGCATGTGTATTATGTGGTGGGTCACAGAGTGTTATACTTCAGCTGAATCAGTGGGCTAGAATGTCCTCAAGCAATTAGTTTATCCAGGCATGACAGTTTATAATTATGCTGTTTTGGAAAAACTATAATATTTGGTTGAGTACTTGGTAGTGTCAGAATACTTGATCCTATAATAAATACCTTAACAAAACTAAGATAGCACAAAGAATGTTTACATTAAGGAAAGAAAGACAATTCTGGGAAATGAATATAATTGCTTAACCAAACAATTTGATTAACCAGGTTAACATTTAAGTATAGACTAGAGCTCACCCCATCTCAAACCCAGTAATATTGGGTCAGGTTTAGTGGCCACTGTCACTGCTCCCCAATTAACAAAAGAACAGTGGAAGATAATTTCTGTTTCCTAGTGACCCCAGGAAACGTGTACTAGATGTAAGTTCATCTCAGAGTTCTGGGGTCTATTTACTTCACTGTTCATTAAACAAATATTTGAACACCACCATCCACAGTGTAGAACTACGGGCTGGATATACATTTGTGAATGAACCAGTCAGTCTTTTTGTGGAGATGACAACGTAGTATATCTGGATTGTGTGAGGTTCAAAGAACTTCCCAGATCTCCCTTTCTTATTTCTTCTATGAGTCCTTTAGGGAGGCTGAAAGCCCAGTCGAAGGCAGAGGAGCGTACTTCAGAGTAAGATTCAGTGGCTCAGATCCTGTAGGACATGCTTGGGAAGTGGTGGCCTCACTCCTCCCTGATAATAACTCATAAAAGTGAGCTGTCTCCAGGAGATCTTGGACAGAGGAAGTAGACAGGATGCCCATGGCTTGGAAAGGTCATACAGCAACCTTCCACAGTAATTCAGTGACTTCCTAGAATACAGCCTACTGGAATCTCTGGAGGTGGAGATAAGTGGGGATACTGTGGAGGGGAAATGTGCAGGAGTCTTATCTTTAAAAAAAAATGGTTTAGGCCAGGCATGGTGGCTCATGCCTATAATTCCAGCATTTGGGAGGCTGAGGTAGGAGGATCCCTTGAGGCCAGGAGTTCAAGATGAATCTGGCCAACATGGTGAAACCCTGTCTCTCCTAAAAAATGCAAAAATTAACTGGTCATGGTGGCATGTGCCTGTAGTCCCAGGTACTCTGGAGGCTGAGGCATGAGAATCACTTGAACCTGGGAGGTTGCATCCTACTAAGATCACGCCACTGCACTCCAACCTGAATGATAGAGCAGGACTCTGTCTCAAAAAACAAAACAAAAATAAAACCAAATTGGTTTAAAGATATTTTATATTTGGGAAACAAGCAAATAAATAAAACTACAAGAAGCAAAGCTTGGCTTAAGGAGAGACTGAGAAGACAGACTGTGAGGAAGGGTGTCTCAGGTGGGGAGTGGGGATCAGAATTAGGGAGGGTGTACTGGCCCTTTCATATTAATAGGAAAAAGACAAGTTCAAAAAGAAAGCAAAAATTAAAAATGAACATCCCCACAAAGGTTGATAAATATTGCCCTGGTAGTGCATACCCCCTGGAGAAGAATTTTCTTGCTACTCACTTGAACAATCTACTGCTCCAGTAAATAGCCATTAGTGGTATGAGGTCTGGTAATGAACGCATTACTTAAAACCTTCACCATCTGTCCCACTTTAATCAGGAATGCAGTGAGAATGAATTCCATAAACACAGTGATAAGCTAGCAAAAATGCCCAATAAGAGCATTTTAATATAGCATATGTTCTGTTTGTTGCAGTGCAATTCTGTTACATTATATTTGTTTCCTAATGTCATTGATTTAGCTCTATTGCAATTTTAGAGCTGAAAGGCACTCTTGAGACCACCTAGCTCCTCATCATAATTTTATAAATGAGGACAGCATGAACCAGAAACGATTCCGCCATCTTCCACTTCCTAGATCACACCACTTTCCATTATGCCCCTGTCTTCTCTAATGCTGGACAAAACCGATAGACTTGGTTCCCAAATCATTCAGATGTTACCATTTGGCAATGATTTAAATTGGTGCCCACTCGGATCAATCTGGGGAGGGAATCCTGGAGCTGTCTTGAGGTGTGGCTCTGGGAATAGTGGGTTGCCCACTGTGTGGTGCTGTGAACTCCCTTTCCCTTTCCTGAAGACATTGCCTGAGAAATGCTATCTGGTATGGTGTGATTTTCTGTGTTGTCAAAGAGGAGGCAAAAAGAACCCAAGCTAGATGCTGAAGCCTGGCCAAGGGAGAGCATTTACTTGTCCAGCTGTCTGGTTTTCCTGATTCCTGTTTATGAAAATCCATTAATCAAGAGCAAGTCTATTTAATGTTGTTAGGAACCGTTTTCGCTCACCCCACAAATTCAAAATACATTATCTGCTGTGTGTTTCTGTGATAAGCCAAGCGTCATATGCTTGCAAGATGTACCTGTGATCCCTCAGAAATAACTTGAACACAGCTAGGGTAACTCTAGGACAATTTCTACGTGGCAAGAATACTGTAAGAAAAATTTGAAAAAGTGAGCATAATTTTAAAAAAATAACAGAACACATAAAATATGAAGTAACTGGTACCTTCAAATTATTATATACTGAGGTCCAAATATGTGTCCAGAAGCCTGTATGCCTTTTACATATATTATCTCCATCATCCCAACATTTCAATATAGGTAATATTATCCCCATTTTAGGAATGCTCAGAAGACAAAAGTATGAATCAAATGAATAGACAATGAATGCCTGTCAAATGTTGCAACTAACTCATTGATTATTGAAGGAAACAGTAAGATGAGAAAGCTGGTTTAAATAAAATATTTTGAGGATCTAGCCATTTATAGGCATTTTGGAGAAAAGGTGAAAATAGAATAGGATTACTAGATTACATTAAAAAACAGTTAATATTCTTTAAGGCAATTAAACCATAATCTTTGGGACTATCTGCTTATCTCTTCTACCAGACAGAAACCTACAAGTTTACATTCAGCTTCACAGAATCAGGGCTCTAATAAAATAATAAATAATAGAAGCAAACACGGGAAATTCTCTGAGAGAATTAAATCTTGGGTCAGATGATTAAATGATTACCCAATATGACATTAAAACTGCATGCTGCATATTGCTTCTATTTCCAAGTTTGGGTTAATTTTTCTTAACAGTGGTAAGGCCCAGAGAGTTTAAAATCTTGGCCAAAATTTATAAATCAAGTAAGTCCCTGCATACCATCTTTGTGATGTTTCTACTATATAGCACTGCCTTGCTGTGTACTGCTCATTCAGATGCTACAGCAGGAAGTAATTTTAAACAGCCCTGTAGATAGTTTCAGCACATCTCTCCCAGTCAATTCCATCCATGTTGCCAATACCAATTCCTCCCTCTTTTCAATCCCCCTCGATTCTTTCCAACTTGGCAACCTCAATCATCAGGCCAAAGCACCAAATTCTTGTTTTCAGCCAATTGCCATCAAATATAAAATGAACACAGTCATCTCAGCTTCGTTTTTATGGTCTTATTTGTTATCCTTTAGGATGGAAAGAGTTTGGCTTAATAATCAAATTAAGGCATTTTTAAAAGATAGTCTTTCTCAGTATCATGAAATTGCAATCTCAGTTTCTCCTGTATCCTAATTGGAAAGCAGTTGTATCCTTTGTGGCCTTGATCCTTCATTAAACGTATGTTTACTACTCTCTGACAGATGCCACGTAGTGGGCATGGTATCTAGTGTCCTTAGATACCACCAACTCAGTCTAATGTAGGGAAGCAGGTATAAGGGTGGGAGAGCCAGTGCCTAGTGAGGGATGAGCAGGCTGTTTATGTGGGGTAGGATCGAGAGAGGTTAATCGGAGAGGCTGAGCTGAACAGGCTACGGGTAATGCCCTGGAGGAGGAGCAAAAGTCCTCCAGGCAGGTGAGAGAGTAAAGAAAACTATTCTTGGCCTATAGTTGAACTATGTGTAAAGCACACAGGAGAATACTTGGCCAGATTTCCTTGAAGATGGGTAGTAACAGCACATGTGAAATCAGCTCTTTAGCTCAAACCATAGTTCTAGTTTGAACAGAGGACTGCCTTACCAAACATATACATCCAGTTTAGCAAAATTTATATCTTATTTTCTCCTAGGAGAAGAGAACACTACTAGAAAAAAAACTGTCTTTGGAAAACAAGCTACTGCAACTCAAATCCAGTGCTACATATGGAAAAAGGTTTGCGAAGCTACCTGTTGAGTAAAAGCATTCCTGATTTCTTTCCTGTCCACTGGTACACCAGCCAGGGAACAGAAGGCCTTCCATCCCCCAAGAATGACTGACAGTGCAGGAAGAAGGTTGAATTCCTAGGATTAACAGATATGTAGTTACATGCTTCCCCTTCTTCAGACTCAGAGGAATCACAGGGCAGTTGGGAGTGGGGCAGGGCAGAGTTCACTGGGGATGCGGGGAAGCCAGTGGGAAGGTTAGTTCTTCTGAAGAGTGAATGAGTGAGTAAGCCTGGCACCTCCTGGTTTACTTTTTGTGCTAAGTAGGATGCTTGAGAGGTCTTTATTCTCCAATGTTTCTGTCTTTGTTAATGAGTCTATTCTACAGTTGACATTACAGTGGCCAGAACACAAGTCGAATTCTAAGATAATTTCCTGATACTCTATAATTTGGTAGGGTGAAGGAAATGCTATGGACAATATCCTTGGTTCTTTAAACTTACTTATAAATACTCATAATTTAAAAGCAGTCACAGTCCTTAGTATGCTGGGGGTAGGTTTGTGGCTATCACCATAATTGCTGTGCTACTCAGCTGCTATTAGAAGTCTCTGTATTATCATGTAATAAATCATAAGACATTTTCTGAGATTTTTATTTTTTTTAAACTCTAAGTCCAACACAGTTCCGATATAATGATATAATAGTGCTAGAAGTCAAATTGATTTCAAGATCTTAGTTTGTCAACCTAGAATTATTGTTCACTAGGATATCGGGCACTGTTATGGGCAGAATTCTTGTCATTTATTCAATGATGTATGCTCAGACATCCCTCTTTCTAAGTCTTTTGATTCCCCCCTACAGGCTCCCCGTTGCTTCCTTTCCTTTATCTTTCTTCCCACCTGTCCTCATATGTTGTACCTTCTGCCTGGCTTGGATTCCTGCATTTTTGACCACATATAATGGGCTGATCCTGAAAATTACACACACATATTTGACACATACTAGGATACCAATGAGTTATTAATTTTCCTATCTTCTTCCCTGCAACAAGCATATAGCCCAAGAGAGGGGACTTCTAAGATAGTTTTATAACACTGCACATTTCTGTAGAGAATGAAGGAAATACTGCAGAAAGTCTCCTTAGATATTGGAATTACATATGGATATTTATAACTTAATTCTAAGTAAATCTTCAGCTAATATTTTTTTCTTAAATAGACTTTTTTCTTAAGTAGAGTTTTTCTATGTAGCAGAACTACTGATTTGTACAATGTATATTCCATTAAAAGTTCAGGATGTCCAAGTTTGATTTTTTTTCCTTTAAAAATATATTTTTTAAAATTGGTAATAGGGCTATTGTTCGTCTTTGAGCCAACAATGTAGCTGTTTTAAAAACCAACTTGATCTATTCTTTCACTTCTGTTCTATACAAGCAGTTGTTATAAAGAATGCTTTAAAAGTGCCCAAGGAAGTTTTAGAAATTTCTTGGGGAAAATGGATGTTTAGTGTTTCTAGAAAGGTTTTTCAACATCCAGGCTTATGCAGTTTTTTTTAAGATTGTGGATATCACATGTATTTTCGATGACTTATTACTTTTTCTGAGCTTTATGTAGAAGTATTCACTTTATGAAGTGACAAAAAAATGAAATCAGTAGAGATCAGACTCTTTTGGTTGAAGCAGAAGAGACTTGATTAAGCTCCCACAAAAAAAAAGAGGGTTTCTGTTAGATAGGGTCGTAAAAAAGAGACAGGAAAGTTAAGATTTGTTTCCTTAAAAATAAGGTTGACTCCATATTTCTATTACTATGACTCGTAACTGACACAGGTCAAATGCTCTGCAGTTTTCAGAATAACCCCAGGTACCTTCTTTACTTTAATCCTTTTATTCACCTTTCAAGGAGAAAGCTAAAGTTCAAATTGAGTTGTCCAAGATTGCTCAATCTCTCAGAAGTTGTAGAACTGGGAGTTTTGGCTTCTATATTTTCATACATAGCAAAGCATGTGCTCATTCTGCTATACAGGATTTTGATTATCTTTCTTTTATTTCTGAAACCTCTGAAAATCTCTCAAACTGGGTTCTTAATTCCTCTGAATAACGATTAGCAAAGGCCGCTTTCCCGACTTCTCCCTCTGCCTTGCCACATCAAAAACAAATAGGCAGGCCTTTTTTAGAGTTTTCTTTTGGAGAAACACATCTGGGATTGATATGGTTTGGCTCTGTCCCCACCCAAAAAGATGAGAATCTTGAATTGTAGTTGCCATAATCCCTACGTGTCATGGGAAGGACCTGGTGGGAGGTAATTGAATCATGGGGCAGTTAGCCCAGTGCTGCTGTTCTCTTGAGTTCTCACAAGATCTGATGATTTTATTAGGGGCTTTCCCCCTTTGCCTGGCACTTCTCCTTGCTGTGTGGTTTTGGCCTGCCATGTGAAGAAGGACATGTTTGCTTCCTCTTCCAACATCACTGTAAGTTCCTGAGGCCTCGCAAAGCCCTGCAGAACTGTGAATCAACTAAATCCCTTTCCTTTATAAATTACCCACTGGCAGGTGTGTTTTTATAGTAGCATGAGAAAAGGCTAATACAGGGGATTGTCGAAATAAACAGTGTTGGCCCCTCCATGTTTACATAGATGCTGCTTAGGAATGGAAACTCCTTAGAGGAGGAAAGACCTCGAAGCTGAGGTTGCATATCAAAGCATATGTTTGTTACTTAAATTGTACATTTATCTGTGGTAGTTTGGGGTGAGAGTGTTCTCTCAAGGCACCCCTTTGATACCACCATTGAAAATAATAATGAAGAAAAATTTTATGGAAAATAGTAACAGACATTCATGAATTTTATTGAAATGCGAACAGGGCTACACCTACATTTCAGCTGAGTCTTTCCTTTAGTCTGGTCTGGGAATGGTAAGAATCTAACCCCTTCTGTTCTTGTGGCTGTGGTTCCTAGTTACCCTTTATTCCACTGGGAGCCCATAGTCAGTGATGTTCACACTCATAGAAGTCAAAAAATAAAAAAAAAATTTGATCCTGAATAGAAGGCAATATGAGTCCCCACAGATGGTAGCAATATTATTTTATACCTTCAGAGAAGCTCTAGGATGCCACTAATCTCACTATCTTCTCTTTCCTGTGGGAGCTCTATGTAGGGTTATTCGTATTTGCAATGTCTCGGTTATCTGGAGTGTGCCAGAAGTAGCCTCTTGGAGCCTGCAACATGGCTTCAGTTGCTACATTTACTTCTTTTCTCTAAGCATCTGGCTCTTTTGGTTTCTTCTGGAATTTTCATTCTCATAAGCATTGTACTGCATGAATCCCTGGTAATAAATATACTTTATAAAGACTTAAACACGTTATATTCTTGGGCTATGTAATTATGACCATGCTCAGGCTATTCATGCCCTTTGTGAAAATTTCAAGAAAATTTAAATTTATAAAAGCTACATAAAATATAACATGATTACTTAAATTGGAAAAAAAATAGATAATGAGGACAAGGAGATGTAAGAATAGATATACCATAAGGTTCGTTTACAAAATCAGGCCCATGGATACTACAGACTTGCTCACAGTAGACCACTGACTCAGTTTTAAATTTTCCAAAGGCCAACCCAAACAGGAAATGTTTAGTTTTGTGAGTCACAATTCCACATGATGAAAACAAATCAGGTCTTTTGGATCATTCAGTTATTTCTAATCTACCTATAAGGCCAGAAAGAAAATTGCCCAGGGTATGGTCATAAAAAGAACCCTGAATAATGTCTTCAACTGACCCCTTGTAATAAACACAGACCCCTTGTAATAAACACATAAAGGCTGCAACTCAGAACATCATCTAAAAGAGAAGAGCATGATGCCAACGCAATCCAGTCAAAGCCATTGTAACAAGGAGGAATGGATGTCGCTGTGAAAAAGTCCAATAATACCATCCTCTGGGGTGTAAGTTGACCCAAAGAAAGATTCTTGAGTATCCTGAGGAATGGAAGGAGAGACAATTCTCTACAAACTCAGTTTCTTTCCACCAAGCCTTTGGGAGACCTTGGGTAGTAGAGAAATTGAGGGTGGGATTCCTGTCAAGTGCTTCTTCTATGATCATCCCATGTTGCTAATTAGAGCCAAAGTCATTTCTTTTCACACTTCTGCAGTTAAAGATAGGATTGACTTCCTTTCTTGAATGCTAAGGAATCTGACAGGAAAAGAACCAGAAACAGTTGTCTCTGTCACTGAAGGGGGAACCTCCTTCAGTGATGGATTGAGAGAGAACCCTCAGTTCCTTTCCTCTGAAGGGTAGGGCAGAGGGTCTCTTCTCTTTCGGTTGGGGCTTTTTTGGTTGCCCCACAGGCATTCCAGGCTGCTGGTTTTTTTTTTTTCCCAGCCCAAGTCTGGGATGTGTGAGATAAAAAGAAAATCCAGGGGATTAACCATTGTGTCATTTCCTGGATCCCAGTTTCCGGAGCCAGTCTGGCTTCTTTCCACTGAGTCTTGTGTTTTTTCATGTACAATATCCAGGGCTTCTAGTTGTACTTAGTGGGAAGAATGGGAAAGAGAATGTCTTCTACATTTCTTAGAAGCCAAACCTTCTCAATTCTGCTTTAATTCCACCATTTGCTTTATATTTCTATTCAGTTGCATTGCAGAGGAAAACACGGTCAAAAATTATATTGAGACATTGGAAAGCAGAGTGTGAACCCTGGATACAGACATTTGCCTCCTTTTCTTAGGCTTTGCCCTTCCTTATGTTTTCTTCCTCCAGTTTTGCTTGTGTACGTCTTTATTAAGACTGGGTTAAGTGCAGTGGTTCATGCCTGTAATCACAGCACTTTGGGGGGCTGAGATGGGCAGCTCACTTGAGGTCAGGAGTTTGAGACCAGCCTGGCCAACATGGTGAAACCCTGTCTCCACTAAAAATACAAAAATTAGCTGGGCATGGTGGTGGACGCCCGTAATCCCAGCTACTCGGGAGGCTAAGGCTGGGGAGTCAGAAAAATAAATAACAAAGCTCAAAAGAAGATCAAGTGGCAGCTTTCTTAGACATATTTTTACATTTAAAGGTCTTAAATGAATTACTAGACTTCATATTTATTGAACAATCCTAATAGAGATTTTGTGCAATGTCCTTTAGTCACTGTTTTAGAGTATTAGTGGAGATGAGTGAAGCCCAAAGCCTTGTGTTTTCCAGAGTGCTTCTAAAAATATTTTTCTTCTATCTTGAGTCCAATCTCATTTTTTTTTTCACTTACAGTGAACTTTATGGCAATATCTTCAACGAATACATTGGAAAGTTTTCTGAGCTTGGTATTTTTGACAGAAAAATAGCAACCTCTGTTCCCTTGCCTAAAGCCATCTTTTTTTTCCCATTGGTTCCAAGGTTCTGGGTTATGGGACACAAAGAAAACCATTTTAAATACCCACCTTTAACAGTTTACAGTCTTTTTATGTTTTGTGCATATTCGAAGCCAGCTTGCTTGCCTCTGCGCGGCACCTTAAGCTCTTTCTCATTCCTTCCCAGGAATGTTCTGAGTCTGACCATTAAGTGGGTCATAGCTGCTCTGTTTTTTTTCCTTCTTCTTCTTCTTTTCTTCTTTTACTTTCCTTGCTGGAGCAACTGTGAATTTCAGCACCAGCTATGAACTCAATTCCTTTTTGCCCTCTGTGTTTTGACCTTTTTTTTTTTTTCTTTTTCTTTTTTTGAGACAGAGTCTTGCTCTGCTGCCCAGGCTGGATTGCAGCGGTGCAATCTTACCTCAATGCAACCTGTGCCTCCTGGGTTCAAGCGATTCTTGTACCTCAACCTCCTGAGTACCTGGGATTACAGGAACATGCTACCAAGCCCGGCTAATTTTTGTAATTTTAGTAGAGACAGGGTCTCACCATGTTGGCCAGGCTGGTCTCGAACTCATGACCCCAAGTGATCTGCCACCTCAGCCTCCAAAAGTGCTGGGATTACACGTGTGAGCCACTGCACTTGGCCTAATTTTTGTAGTTTTAATAGAGATGGGGGTTTGCTATGTTGGCCACGCTGGAACTCCTGGCCTCAAGTGATCCTCCTGCGCTGGCCTCCCAAAGTGCTTGAATTACAGGTGTGAGCCACTACGCCTGGGCTGTTTTGATCTTTATATCCTCAAGTCATCTTTTCCTAGTAACTGAGGTTTCCTTCTGAGGCTCCTCAGTTACCCCACCATCCGCATGTTTGCAGCAATTCTACCCTCCAAGGGTTCTGAGCAACATCTGCCAATTTCTCAACCCTTCCCCTCGCACACACCCAGTCTTCCTGGACTTCTGAAGACATCCTGCCCCTGAAGATTCTCTGTAGGCAGTAAGCCTTCTCACTCTCTTTTTGGAATGTTTGCAGACATCCAAAGGCTGGTATCTCCTTGGAAGTCTCTTCCATCTCCCTGTAGCATCCTTAGGGTGTGGAGCCTCACCTGCTGGGGGTCCTGAAAGTTCCTCAGTCTCTTGTGCCTCAAGAAGCCTCTGAACCTCAAGTCTAGGGACAATTGAAATCTAACGTGAATACAGGCTGGTGCTCATGCAGCCATTTTCTGAACTTGATTTGGAAATGCTGTGAGGGCTGAGTATTACTGCTGTTGTCAGTTCAAATTACATGTGCACGAAGCGTTTTCATCTGAATCAGGCATCCAGCTTATCTCTTTTCAAACACTTCCTACTGTGGACCATGGAAAGAAAAACAAGGGACTCCTTGCTCATTTAGTTGGTTCAGATTCCCTACTGCCCCTCTCCAAGAGAGAAAGACCAGGATAAGGATTTCTGCGAGCTCTGGGGTCCTTTAAACGACTGTGTTATAAACAGTAGATAGAATATTGGCACAGTTGAACTAGTGATCTTCCTTCAGCCTGTGTTTACAGTCTACATTTCTTTCATGGCTTTCCTTAATTTGATAATTGCTTATAGTGTTAATCAAGAGGAGGAAAATGGAATTTTGCAGTGAGATCTAGTTGTGTAGGTATGAAAACCACGTTTCTCATTATCATCTAAAACACAGGAGCACACAGCTGACACAATGCATGTGGCTTCCTAACTCTAATAACAGTGGCAAGAAGGGAAGCAGCCAAAAGAGCACAATCAATTCCAGTTACCTGGATGGAGCTTTGGGAAAGTATAAATAATCTAAATTCAAAATTTACTTATTCTTTTTTTCATCATGGTTGATGTGGACTCAAAAATATTTGCTAAAATTTAATTTCTTTCTTTATTCTCTTTTTTCCCTTTCCCTACTGATTCATAGAATTACCAAAAGTAGAAAGCCAAAAAATAAAATAAAATAAAAAAGACAAACACAGACAACCCACAACATATACTAAGCCTGAGTCATTAGAAATTGGTTTCTGAAAAATATATTCATATATAAAATCTCAATTTCTGCTCCCATGTTCTGACTCTGCTATTGCCATGTAATTGTCTGTGAAGTTTGATGGGTGCCAGCTCTGTGGGTGCTCAGGCAAGGCAATTTAGCTTATAAGTGCTTTATCCTATGGAATACAACTTGATCCCACTACCTGCTAGAGGAGTCACAGATGGCCAGAGAGTAGCTTTTTGATATTCTCAGTCAAGTCTATGTCCAAGCAGAGCAGAGCCTGCTTCATAGCTATTTATCTTCAGTGTCCTGTGTGGCATAATGGGGCTCTGGAGTCTTACCCACTGGATCCCCAGTAGCAGTGGAATGTGTAGGAGGCCTAGCAATAAGGGCGAGCTATGGAACATGTAAGCCAATCATTTTCTCTAACTCTTTTTTCCTTTGCATTCCCAGATGCCAGGATCTTCAGATGGAGATTTCCATTCTTCAGGAGCAGATCTCTCATCTGCAGTTTGTGATTCACTCCCAGCATCAGAACCTGCGCAGTGTCATCCAGGAGGTCAGATTAATCTAGTGTATTTCTCTGGTAGATGGTATGTTTACAGTGTGGAGCCCAAATACAAGTGGCTTGTCTGGACTTTAGAAGCAGAGACTTCTCTCCCTACTGACATACCCTTTTTGGTTTCTCATGCAGTATGGCTCTGTTTTCAATGCCCTCTCTTATTTGTAACACCTACACCTGTAATGTTCTCAATGAAGATAGCTTGGAAAATTATGTATAACTGTGGTTTTTTCCTAATGTTTCAGTGATTTTCTCAAAGTCTTTTGAGCCAAATAATGTATACTGGTCTTTAGACAAATTTATAGATCAGGAGATTCAGCTCTTCCTTGAGCATAAAATGATCTGTTTTCATAACCTCATGATTTATTTAGGAGGTGTTTTAGGGTAGGCATGTAGCCTGGCCCTTCTTCTCTGAGAGCAGCCTGACAGGTGGCAAAGCATATGGGATTGTGGTAGCAGCCAGCTAGATGATGAAGTGTGTATTTAAAATCTACTTCAAGGTATGCTGGAGAGGATGAGGAGAAATAGGAATGCTTTTACACTGTTGGTGGGAGTGTAAATTAGTGCAACCATTGTGGAAGACAGTGTGGCAATTCCTCAAGGATCTAGAAATAGAAATACTATTTGACCCGGCAATCCCATTATTGAGTATATACTCAAAGGATTATAAATCATTCTATTATAAAGACACATGCACATGTTATGTTCATTGTGGCACCGTATACAATAGCAAAGACTTGGAACCAACGCAAATGCCCATCAAGGATAGACTGGATAAAGAAAATGTAGCACATATATCGAATATTATGCAGCCATAAAAATGATGAGTTAATGTCCTTTGCGGAGACCTGGATGAATCTGGAAACCATCATTCTCAGCAAACACAAGAACAAAAAAACAAACACCGCATGTTCTCACTCATAGGCAGGTGCTGAACAATAAGAACGCATGGACACGGGGAGGGGAGTATCACACCCTGGGGTCTGTTGGGGACTGGGGGGCTAGGGGAGGGATAGCATGGGGTGGGGAGATTGGGGAGGGGTAACATTAGGAGAAATACCTAATGTAGGTGATGGGGGGATGGAGGCAGCAAACCACCAAGGCATGTAACAATCCTGCAAGATCTGCACATGTACCCCAGAACTTAGTGTGTGTGCGTGTGTGTGTGTGTGTGTGTGTGTGTGTGTGTACATGCATTGATCTGCTTTTGGGTGTCTGTTTCAAAATTTAAAACCAGACTTCTATTCAATTATTATACTGCCAAACGGAAGTCCTCCCGAATAACTCCGGAGCCTTCCTGACATACATATAGCATTTGTGCCTACTTGGCTATGCCCTCACTAAAAGGCCAGAGAATTGAGTAGTGGAATTTGAGAGCCAGGAGGGACTTTGGGGGCCACTCCACACCCTCTTTTTACAGAGCAGTTTAATGACAGCTAGTGGTGGCAAAGTTGTCTTAGAATCCATGTCCCCTCCCTTCTTACACCATTTGAATCTCATCACCCCACCTCCCAATTCCACATTGCCTCTTGGCAAAGCAGGCTCACCTGATCATGTTGCTGATTGACAAGTCTGTACCTCAGGGAGCCTCTGCACACCAGGCAGCAGCCTTCATCCTGTCCACCAGCAGCTGCATCTGCAGGTTGAGAACATTAAGTTGCTGAGACGCAGAAGGGCAGCCAGTGCTGCTTTCACAGGACGCACTCCTGCTGAACTTGGTTTAAACAGGTTATCCAAAGATTAAAGTGAATAACAGCACCAGCTGAGGGCTTTCAGCCCCAGGTGTCAATTTGGCCTGGTATTTTCTGTTGCCTGCTGAGTCTGCTAATGCTTTGGGATTTATTATTTTTTTAATTTGATGAATATCTTTTGACCTCAGAAATCCATACAATTTCTGACTTAAGTAACTATTTCCTGTGGTCTGACAAGGTTTTTCCTATTGTGTTTTCTAATTCTCAGATGGAAGGATTAAAAAATAATTTAAAAGAACAAGACAAAAGAATTGAAAATCTCAAAGAAAAAGTTAACGTACTTGAAGCCCAGGTAAGGAGGGAATCTGTCTTACATTTTGTGGTGAGGGTGTGAGTGGTGTGTGTATGTATCTGTGTGCATGAGGATGTCAGTATCAGTGAGCCTGTGTATGAAAGTGTGCAATTGTATGCCTGTATAACACTGTGAGTATGTCTGTTTGGGATCAGGCATGTCATTGTGTCTGCCTGACTGTGTATGCTGTGTCTGTCTATGTTTAAGTATATGTGCGTGTGTCTCTGTGTGTATCCAAGTGTCATTTTGTGAGTGTGTGTATGTGCATCTCCTATGCATAAGAAATTAGCGCTATGGAAAAAAGGAGTGACAATTTAATGATTGCTAAATTATGAAGCGTTTAAAAGATTTTATTATGTTATCAAATTACTAGCATTATTAATGTTAAATATTATTAATGTAATTAAATGACTATGAAAAGTTTGTTTAAATTTTCCAGAATACTTGCTGTAATGGAGAGACATAACCTCTCTTGATACGGACTTGAATCAGAAGCTTACTCAAGTCCACTCTTGGGTAAATTCCACTCTAGCCAGATGGCCAGGATTCCTGTGTCCTGCCTTTGTTCCCAGGCATGATCCTTTCCTGGTTTGGGATGTCCTCTTTTCTTCTTCCTTCATTCATATCCATCCTGACCTCCAACCTTTGCCTCCAGGCTTACCCACTTCTAGAAGCCTGTTGTAATGGCCTTGCTTTTTCAGTGTTTTCAAACTGAGCACAATACATTCTAATGTCCTAGGATAAGACATGCTTTTCCTCCCTCCCATTCAGACCCCCTTTCCTCAGGACCCCTGTATTAGTCTGTTCTCACGCTACTAACAACGACAAACCCAAGACTGCGTAATTTATAAAGAAAAAGAGGTTTGTGGACTCACAGTTCACACACTGGGGAGGCTTCACAATCATGGCATGATGGAAGGTGGAAGCCGTGACTTCCATTGGCAGCAGGCAAAAGAAGTGTCAGCAGGGGAAATGCCAGAAGCTTATAAAACCATCAGATCTCGTGAGAACTCACTCAGTCATGAGAACAGTATGGGGAAACTGCTGCCATGATTCAACTATCTCCACCTGGCCCTGCCCTTGACACGTGAAGATAATTACAATTCAAGGTGCGATTTGAGTGGCGACACACACCAAAACCATAGCAACCCCTTGCTGGCACTCAGCTGCCATCCTCTGCTGACAATGCCCCTGCCTTGCAGGAAGTGCAGTGAAGCTGCTGCCAAGGCTGGAGCTCCTCTGAAGACCTCACAGCAACTCCACTTCAGCTCCATTTCTTGCTGTGTCTCTGCTTCTGTCTCTGTTAAATGTCGCATCACCCACTGCCTGGAGCTGGTAACCTGTTCTACTCTGTCCCTCAGTATTTTGATTTTCTGCTCATTGTCACCTGCCAGTGTAAATGTTGTCCAGTCCTGTGGACTGTGGAGATGCCCTAACTTCCCACTGGAAGCCTTATCATCTTTTAGAACTGTTCCTTCCACTACCATGTTCTTTCTGCTTTCCCCAAACAGAAGATAAAAAATCATAAGAACAGTTTTTTGCATCTGAATTTTTAGACTCATTTTCCATTTCTATTTTCCTGGCGGACAACTCTTCTTGGGTTTTGAGGATAGACCTCATTGAACCTCACACTCTTGTTAGATTCTCACCCACTTCAGGTAGTATGGGACTGATTAACACACTGCTCTCAGCTCTGTGCAGCTAAAAATGCCTTGATTGTGGAATAATTGGCTCAAAACTAGTGTTCACCCAAGTGCTCAGTAATAGCCGGATAACTTATATCAGGGGACCTTCAGATTATGTGATTCATGTCACAGTGGAGCCTCCTATGAAATGTTCTCTAAAGACATTTCTTCACTCCCTTTCTCACTTAGAGGCAAATGTTATTTGATAAAAAATATTTTTTCTTGTATTATTACATGTAGCAATATATTTGAGACAGAGTCTCACTCTGTTGCACAGGCTGGAGTGCAGTGGCATGATCTTGGCTCACTGCAACCTCTGCCTCCCTGAGTCAAGTGATTCTCCTGCCTTAGCCTCCTGAGTAGCTGGGATTACAGGTGCATGCCATGTCACCTGGCTAACTTTTGTATTTTTAGTAGAGATGGGATTCACCATACTGGCCAGGCTGGTCTCAAACTCCTGACCTCAGGTGACTTGCCCAACTCTCCCTTCCAAAGTGCTGGGATTACAGACATGACACACCATACCCAGCCTATTTCTTACACTTTGTATGTAACTGACATTCATTCATTCCATATAAGTTAGGACACATGGATATACAAATAGAACAAGAAAATCACAGATAAAGTACCATCCCTGGGTACCAACTCAGCACAGTTGGGTATATATGTGTTTTGTGGGAATCTGTGTGCCTGTTATATACCTATGTATACATATTAACTATGGAATATATATGGCGCTACGCTATGCCTATCTATTGTATTCTCATTTTTAAGCTTTCATTTATTTTTTCATTTTTCCACATCACAAAATTATGTAATTACTTCTACACTTAATTACTGAGTGGTTACTATGATATAGGCACTAAATTCTGGAAAACAATGTTGAACAAAGTAGACAGGAGCCCTGCTCTCTAGAACTTACTGGCTAGTGAGTGAATTTGAAATGCCTTTTTGTTCTGGACTAAATTCTTATTGAAACTGTTCCAACAGTCAATCAGCCTATTTTGGCTCCAATAGCTTACTGCTTTAATTATTGTACATCTGTAATGTGTTTTAATTGGAGAGCTTGTTTTAGGGTTGGCATTGTTCTCAGATCTTTCACTTCATATGGTTCTGGGCTCTGCTCATACCTAATTAAGTGCCCATTCTTATCACAAAGTCAAGGTGTCAATGGTACTACTGCCTCTAATTCAATTTTGTGTTCTTTAATTGTGTCTATTTATTTATATTGTTCCCAATGAGGGTTTTATTTTCCTAAATAAACTGACAACTTAACCCAGATACTGTACATTATCCAGCTGGCCTGTTGGTTAAACAGTTAGACCAGGAAGACGTATTTGTTTCCATTGTGCTCTGTTTGTATATTCCAAAATTCAGCAAATAATTACTGACTATTCAGCAATTATGTCACAGAAATAGATGTGTATCATTCTCACCTTGTGACAGACTCTCTACAGTAATATGACGGCACCTCTCAGTGTTGTCTTTGATTCTCTGTATGTAGCTCAACCCAAGCCAGTGTTTTTTTTTTAATTTCTTTCTTCCTTTTTCCTTTCTTTTCTTTTTTTTTTTTTTTTGTGATGGAATCTTACTCTGTCACCCAGGCTGGAGTGCAATGTTATGATCTCTGCTCACTACAGCCTCTGCCTCCCAGGTTCAAGCAATTTTCCTACCTCACACTCCCAAATAGCTGGGATTATAGGTGCCCACCACCACACCTGACTGATTTTTGTATTTCTAGTAGAGACAGGGTCTCACCATATTGGCCAGGTTGGTTTTGAACTCCTGACCTCAGGTGACCCACCCACTTTGGCTTCCCAAAGTGCTGGAATTTAGGCGTGAGCCACCGCACCCAGCCTTAAGCCGGTGTTTTCTAACACTTCTATAAAAAAAAATGGTTTCAAATAATAACAGTATCTGATGGGTGACTTTATGTTCTCAACATTTATTTTCTTTAATAGATAAATCTTTCTTTCACAGTAGTGAATGTTACCGTGCCCATTTGAGCTTTAAAAAGTCCAAGCCATATTAATTTATTTATTCAGTAGATATTTTGTGTGCTTATGATGTGTCAGGAAATGTTCTAAGTGCTAGGTATATGGCCATGAATGTGACAGATTGTCCCTGACTTCATCTTACTTATACTTTGAGAAAACAGACAATAAACAAGCAAGTATACAGCTTCATTAGGAAGTGCCAGTACTCTGAGGAAGAATGGAAAATTGTGAGGAGTCATAGAGTAACAGGGATTAGGGAGGGCATCTCTGAGCACGTGATGTCGGATCAGGTATCTAAATATGTAAATATAGTGACCTTGAACCATAGTGATTCAACTTATTTTATTATCTGTTTTTTGGAGACAGGGTCTCACTCTGTTGCCCAGTCTGGAGTGCTGTGGCATGATCATGGCTCACTGCAGCCTCAACCTCCCAGGCTCAAGCAATCCTCCTACTTCAGCCTTCTGTGTAGCTGGGAATACATGTGCACACTACCATACCTGATTAATTTTATTTTAAACAAGTTGTAGAGACAGAGTTTCACTGTGTTGCCAGGGCTGGTTTCAAACGCCTGGGCTCAAGTGATCCTCCTGCCTTGGCCTCCTAGAGTGCTGGGATTACAAGTGTGAACCACTTCACCCAGCCCCAAAGGAAATAAATTTCTATCCTATTCCTAGTGAATGCCTTATTATAAAGCTTTTAAACTGGAATAAAATGTGCAGGGGTACACTATCTTGCACTGCAAATTTAAGGCCACTGCCCATTTTGGAATTCCTGAAATAACAGTGTGCACTAATTCAGTTTATGAAATATGATGATCAGAGCTCGAACAACATTTTAAACACATCAACTTTGTAAACCCTGAAGACAGCATCACTTTCTCATTCATACTAAAATCATTTGTGTCTGTTTAGTCATGCTACATGTGTGGTTTTCTTTAATCCTCAAAGCTGCTCCAGGAGAGTTATTATTGACTACATTTTGCAAGTAGAAAAACTGAGGGTCAGAAAAGTTGAGCAACTTGTTTAAAATCACTCAGCTAGCAGGTGGCAAAACCTGCATTTGAGTCTGCTTGGCTTTGCAGCACATGCCTCCCCGCCAATATCTGCTTATCTGGATATCTGGGTGATACGGTTTAGCTGTGCCCTCATGCTAATCTCATCTTGAATTGCAGCTCCCATAATTCCCATGTGTTGTGGGAGGGACCCAGTGGGAGATAATTGAATCATGAGGATAGTTTCCCCCTTACTGTTCTTGTGTTAGTGAACAAGTCTTATGAGATCTGATGGCTTTATAAGGGGAAACCCCTTTTGCTTGGTTCTCATTCTCTCTTGCCTGCCTCCATGTAAGACGTGTCTTTGTGTCTCTTTTGCCTTCTGCCATAATTGTGAGGCCTTCCAGCCATGTGGAATTGTGAGTCCATTAAACCTCTTTTCTTTATAAATTACCCAGTCTTGGGTACATCTTTATTAGCAGTCTCAGTACAGACTAATACACTGGGTGATTAAATAAGTGTGTGTGTGTGTATACATGTTTGTGAAATACATATGTGTATCCAATCTATTTTTAAACACATGGTTATAACATTAAATTTGCATGGTCTTTTATATTGATTTTAGTCATTGTCACTGTTACTGTATTAAATATTTTCTATTTTACTTCTAGCTTCTAAGTCATGGAAACACTTTTTTCCTGTGGTGGTCTTTCTATCCTAACAGTTTTTTTTTCCTGCCTATGGGTGATAAAATTGACTCATATAACCCTATCTTTAAAAAAAATCATTAATTCTTCTTAACCAGTTTTAAATACCACCAGAAAATTTCTGCTTAACTCTACCAAAATTACTTACCTCCTGTTTTTGCATATCTTTCTTCATCTTAATTTACAGCTCTGACACTCGTCTTATATTTATTGCATTTTTAGTTTCTTCACTAAGGACCTGCTCCTAGGGAAATGCATCTTCAGAAATTACCCCATTTTCTAAACTTTGAAGATTATCCTACTTTATATAAGCACCATCATCCTTAAAATTTAATTCTTGGAGTGTGTTGCTAAAATATTAAGTATGCAAAAATTATATTCTTTTTGAAAACTATGTGAATAAACTATGCTTAGATCCATAATAATGGCAGGCATATTCTGGCCAGTGATTTGCAGTTTTTAAATAAAACTCATGCATATACTCTCCTAGTTAAGGGAAAAATCAGAAAAGTCTATGAATCAAGACTGAATACCTAAATCTGGTAGATGAAACAAATCAGCATGGAATTTAAAATAAATTAAAGAGGGTCTAACATAATAACTCTTATGCTTTTGTATTGTTTGGTACTGAATTGGTTGAGAAACTGGGAATTTATTCTGGGAAAACCTAAGTAGCTTTTACCTAATTGACCAGTCGCAGAGTATTTTCATTCCAATGGTGCTTGTCATCAAGAGAGTGCGTTTCAAATTGCTTCATCACGTGTAAGGTACTGTAGAGAGGGACTTTTTTCTAGGCACATGCTTGGCCTATAATATGTGCCTGCACTTGTTTGGAGTGTATAATAGATTTATATTCATTATATGAGGAGATCTGTATCATTAATTGATCAAATCTCAAGTACATTTCCTGGGTGAAACTTAGCTTCACTCTTGAAATTTCACAGTGGAATGATGACTGCATATGAAGATACTGGCCCCATCTTTCAATTATTATAAATGAAAAATGCTAAGAGCTAAGAAGGGGCACAATTCAAGACTGACTCTGAACCATTGACTTACTCCAAACCATCAGGTGGAATTTCAGAAAATATCTTATAGGCTGGGTGCAGTGGCTCTCACCTGCAATCTCAGCACTTTGGTACCCTAAGGAGGATGGATCGCTTGAGGCCGGCCAGGAGTTCAAGATTAGTCTGGCCAACATGGTGAAACCCTGTCTCTACTAAAAAAAAAAAAAAAATTGGCTGGGAGTGGAGGGCACATGCTTGTAATCCTAGCTACTCAGAAGGCTGAGGCAAGAGAATCGCTTGAACCCAGGAGGTGGAGGTGGAGGTTGCAGTGAGCCATTGATGTCTGTGGTGGGCCATCTGGAGGGGCCACTGCCCTCCCACTGGCTGCAGCAGGGAGGTGTGGTCAGGGCTGCATGCTCCATGGAGCCCACAAGAGCCCCACCCCCACTGGGCACAGCTCCACCTGCCCGAACTGTGGCTGTAGATTCAGGAATCCCTGTACTCTTAGGGGCCTGTACTCTTAGGGGCATGCTCCATGGAGCCCACAAGAGCCCCACCCCCACTGGGCACAGCCCCCACCCTGCCCTTGCAGGCTCGGAAGTGCCTGTGCCCACTGCTTGGTTTCTCTGCTGTTAGCACCCTCTCCAGTCTCAGAGCAAAATTGGGTCCAAGCCTGGTCACTGTCACAGCCCAGCTGGGTATATGCATGGTCAGGATAGTGCTGACATGCCAGCTCCTTCCTGCCTCAACTGCCTCTGGACTTTGGGCACCAAGCATGGGAGGTCCTAAAGGCTAGGGGCCAGGCTGCCAGTCCCTGTGGACTGGAGTGGGAACTTGTGTTGCCTTTTCTGGGCCCACCCATGGCTGCCCATGGACCAATCAGCACACACTTCCTCCTTTTTGAGGCCAAAAAAGCCCCAGGTTTACCCCCTGCCTGCCAAGAGGAGGTGCCCACTCTAGGGCTTCCTCTCTGCTGAGAGCTGCACAGATGATGGGACAGCCAGCTGTAGAGAGGAGCTACCCTCCCTGTTGATAGCTGAATACTTGTTGGGATTACTTGCATAGCAGAGAGGAGCTACCTTCTCTGTAAGGAGCTGGACATTCATTAGGACACAGCTCCTGGGTGCAGAAAGGAGCTGCCCGCTGCAGGTTTCCTGTGAGCTGTTCTATTGTTCAATAAAGCTCCTCTTCATCTTGCTTGACCTCCACTTGTCTGTGTACCTCATTCTTCCTGGTTGCAGGACAAGAACTCAGGACCCAGTGGGTGCCTGGGTTAAAAGAGCTGTAATACAAACAGGGCTGAGACATGCCCCTTGCTCACCATGTTGCAGGCAAAGAGAAGGAAAGAGCTGTGGCCCTTTGGGGATCCCAGACCTGGGAGCTCCCTGAGCTAGGGCTGTGACTCTCTCTTTGAGGTCTTGTGGTTTCTGGCATCTCCAAGCTTCCAGGTGCCACTTTGTTCCCTGGTGCCAGCTGTGGAAGCTGCTTGTGATGTGCCTGGTCTGGCTGCAGCCTCAGCACCCATGCCAGTACCTGGAGCTGCACACCCCACTGTAGCAGCCGGCATGTTTGACTGTGCACAGTAGCAGACCCCATGCTTGGTCACACACCCCTCGCCATTCCACATCTGACTTGTCCTTGGCAGACATGAGACCTAGACCAGTAGCATGCAGCCTGCCAGGGTCAGTGAATAAAATGAGCCCAGCAGACCCAAGCAAAACTCTGGCAAAGGTGCCACCAGCCACAAAGATTTCCAGCCAGATAAAAGACACCCTGTAACGCTGAGATCACACCACTGCACTCCGGCCTGGGGGACAGGATGAGACCCTGTCTCAAAAAAAGAAAAAACAAGAAAGAAAGAAAATACCTCTTAAACTGTAATTACATGATGCTAGAAGCCTGTTTTCCTTGAAAGGGAAGGGAGCTGGTGTTGCTGTTCATCACCTGTCATTGTTCCACCCAGCCACCTTTTAGTTCCAGACACTTTAATGTGGGTGTGTCCTTTAAAGACCCCTGGCCTGCCAGTGCAACTCACTGGCAATTCAGCATTGGTCATGATCCTTCACAGTTTTAAGTCTCACTTTCCAGATCTGGGAAGTAAAATTGCTCACTTGGCTGTGTTGTAGAGAAAGCACTGGCTCTGGATGGGAGTGCACAGCCTGGCATTGACCTCTGCCATGAATAGGGTGCGGGGCACTGGAAGTCTTTGGAATTCAATTTATAGTTATGAAAATGGTACTTGGGGCTGAGCACAGTGGCTCACACCTGCAATCCTGGCGGGAGGCTGAGGCAGGCAGATTGCTTGAGTCCAGGATCTTAAGACCAGCCTGAGCAACATGGTGAAACCCTGTCTCTACCAAAAATTCAAAAATTAGTTGGGCATGGTGGCACACACCTGTGGTCCCAGCTACTGGGGAGGCTGAGTGACATCCTGATGGTTTCAGCCTTAGAGTTGGAGGTTGGAGTGAGCCGAGATTGTGACACTGCACTCAGCCTGGGCGACGGAGCCAGACATTGTCTCAAAAAAAGAAAAAAAAGGCACTTGGACTAAAAAATCATAACCAACTCCTTTTAAGTCTTAAAATCTGTGCCAGGCACTAGCCGAGCATGTGACATATTTTTTATCTCATTTTAAATCTGTGAAGAAGGCTTTATTATATCCGCAATACAGATGACGAAAATAGGCACAGAGAGGTTAAGTATCCTAAATGAGGTCACATAACCAGTAAGTGGCCGTGCCAGGATTTGTACCTGAGAACTTGCACCCTAACCATTCCTTTTCTTAGCTGTTGCATGAACTCCCAGACTTACGAGAGTGCTTCCAGATGTAAAATATTATGTTCATATTCTGTTTCTTCCAACAACTTACACAATGTGGGCAGGCATGTATTGTTCACCACTAGCATAGATATGAGGAAACTAAGGCTTCATAAGAAAATGGAGGCTATAGAGGCCATGAACTTATATTAATAGTAAAAAGCAGATGGGACCTATTTTCATGGGGTTTATAATCAAGAGATCTCAAAAGAAAGATGAACATGTGATCGATATTGTGGGTATCTTTAACAAGGTTCTTTAAAAGTTCTTCTCATTTGTCTATATTTTTAAAACTCTGTAAAATAAAATATAGATACTTCAGCTGTTGAATTTCAGATGCTAAATCAGAATACTATATTTTAGTCCCTTGGTAAATTATGCATTTTTTAGGGAGTATCTGCATCTTCAGAGATAATATTTAGTGACGTTCAACTGGCTATTGTCTTTGTTCTATAGTAGAATTGCAATAACAAACTTACTGTCAAGGGGTGAGGCAGACGTTGGGTTGAATAGAAGCATTGAGGAGGTAGCTAATAAATATGTTAGTGATTTGATCTCTGCATTTTTTTTCAATTTTAGAATAAAGAACTAAAAACCCAGGTAGCACTTTTGTCTGAAACTCCTAGGACAAAGGTATCTAAGGCTGTTTCTACAAGGTAAGGTCTTTGTCTTCTTCCACCCTGTCTTCACAACCTGTGTTGAACATGTTTGACATTTAACCCACTCGAGAAAGATTCCAGTCTGTCAGTACTTAACGTAATCATTTGTTTACTATCGGTCTCCCAGTTCCTATTAAGAACTGTGTTAATCTTGTTCATCATTTAATCTTCAAAGCCTAACATAGAAATACTAAATAAATTAATGAACAAATTTACATTACCTCTTTTCTTCTTCTTTGCCCTAAAACAAGCCCAATCTCAACTCCAGCATCTAGACATTACAGGTCATCTCCTTCACTGTCTTTCTTCTTCTGGTGCTCCTATTTTTTGTGCCATTGATGGACATTTTAAACTTTAATTATTGGCATTTATTGAAATTGCTATGTTGTCAAATCTAATAAATTATTAATATAAATGTCACCAGGGCAAGAATAGTTCTTTTTATTTCTTGCATTGGTAAGAACAAGGATCTTCAACAACCCCCTAATCATGAATGATTTCAAGTGATGATGGTGACCTACTAAAGAAATTGAAATGATGATTGAAACCATCTAAGTCATTTCCTTAAGTTAAATTTTTGTTGTGGTTGTTGTTGGCAGAATCAGAATCTAGGCTCATATCTCATTTCCATAAACCCCATGAAATTATCATTTAAAAGAAAACATAGTCTAATTACATGTATCATTTAAAAAGTGATTAAAAACTTCCTCTTCTAGCAGCTTTTGAATTTCCCAAGCTAGTCCCTCTAGGGAAGAATCTCATTTTCTAAACCTCTCTTCAGTCCAGTGCCAGAGGTGGAAAAATCAGACCCACTGTGATTAGCATCAGTCTAAGAATTCAGGAAGATTCATCTCTCTCTTTAAAACTGCCTGAAACAGTATTTCACTTTGCTTATGCTGTGTGTAATTACAGACTAGAGATGAAACTATTATGATTCAAGTCCTCTAAAATCTTTTGGCCTCTGCATGCTAAGTTATAAACTCTCTGGGCACTAGCCCTGCAACTTCTAGAAAAGAAAAGAAATGAAGCCCCAGAGGTTCCCCAGGAGGAGATGAAATGCCCACATCTCAGAAGCAGGGAGAGTAAAGTCACTTCAGTTGTGGGAGACATGAAGGTTTGGACTAGGAGGGCAAGCGTAACATTCCAAGGGAAGGAAGAATGATCAATGTTTTGCTCCCTTCCATCTGTGCCATTCCCATTAGGGTGGTGAAGCACTGTGGCCAGTCCTAGCTGCTTGAACACTGGAGGGAATGGAGCCATAATGGAGCGGACAAGGAAACAGCTGGTTATCTTCATATTGTGACTACTCTAGTATTGAATGCTGAGACTCTGGCCGGTATATAGGGGTCATGTTGGAGAAAATTACTTCTTTGGCCAACTCTTTAGCTACAGCTATTAATTAGTATTTAATTAATAGTTAAAGGTTTACTGTTTTAAAGACTTTTCTTCTCCCTGTGACTTGGGAAAGGTCAAATGGGGAAATTTCCTAATTGAAGTGGTGACAGTAGACTGAGCATCCCCTTTGTTCTGTGATTTTTGATGGAAATTCTAGTGTTAATGGTGTAAAACAGCAGTCCCCATTTTTTTTGGCACCACGTTTCATGGAAGACGGTTTTTCCATGAACCAGTGTGGAGAGGATGGTTTTGGGATGATTAAAGTGCATTACATTTATTTCTATTTTTATTACCTTGTAATGTACAATAAAATAATGATAAACTCACTGTAATGTAGAATTAGTGGGAGCCCTGAGTTTGTGTTCCTGTAACTAGCCGGTCTCACCTGGGGGTAAGACAGATATTCCGGCAGTAGATTCTCATAAGGAGCACACCACCTAGATCCATGGTATGCACAGTTCACAGTGGGGTTCGCGCTCCTGTGAGGCTCTAATGCCATTGCTGATCTGACAGGAGGTGGTGTTCAGGAGGTAACATGGGTGTTGGGGAGTGGCTGTAAATACAGATGAAGCTTCCCTCTCTTGCCTGCTGCTCACCTCCTGCTGTGTGGCCCTATTCCTAACAGGCCATAGACTGGTACCAGTCCATGGCCCAAGGGCTGGGGACCCCTGATATAAAGGTAGGACTCACATTTGCAAAATGAAATATGACCCATCGGCTACTTAAAACATGTAAGTGGTAGTTTGGTGTGGTAAATCTGGATTCATGAATACACAGTGAAATTAACTCTAGGGAGAGATTTGAATATAAAGAGAACTGTTAAGACTGAAATTAGAAAAATGTGTACACACAAAAATTTAATCCTAGCAAATCTCCACACATTCTCTCAGGGAGTACAAACAAGGTTTTTTCTTTTTTACTTGAGCATTAGAACATATAGGCCCGTCTTTCCTTCCCTTCCCTTCCTTCCTTCCTTCCTTCCTTCCTTCCTTCCTTCCTTCCTTCCTTCCTTCCTTCCTTCCTTCCCTCCTTCCTTCCTTCCTTCCTTCCTTCTTTCCTTCCTCCCTCCCTCCTTCTCTCAGCGCTTCCTCCCCTCCTCTCCTTCCCCTTCCCTGCCCTTCCTCTCCCCTCCCCTCCTCCAAACCAGCCCCTCTCCTCCCCTCCTCTTCCTTTCATTCTCTCTGTTTTTCTCTTTATGACAGGTCTCACTCTTTGGCCCAGGCTGGAGTGTAATAGCATAATCATAGCTCACCTTAACCTCGAACTCCTGGGCTCAAGAGATTTTCCCACCTCAGCCTCCACAGTAGCTAGGGCTATGGGCACACCATCATACCTGGCTATTTTCTTTTCGTAGAGAACAGGGTCTTGCTATGCTGCCTAGACTGGTCTTGAACACCTGGGCTCAAGTGATTCTCCCATCTCAGCCTCCCAAAATGTTGGGATTACAGTCATGAGCCACTGTGTCCAGCCTGATGTTTCTTGAGTGGTTTGCTTGGGATTAGGGGCCATGTTGTTAAACAATAATAAAATATCCACATGTATATATGTGTATGCATGCATATATGTCTGTGTACATATATATGTACATATATATATATATCCTGTAAGTACATATGTACTTACAGTTTTAAATACTAGAATCTCAGAGTGAGGAAATAAATTCAGGCTATGCAAAATGCACTGAATTAAAACAGCCTGAGGGAACGATAGATCTGTGTTTTGTCATCTCCAGCTCACTCTGGGGAACCTCTTCACCAGGTGGAATGGCAGATACAGGCTCTTCCTCTCTCTGGCTTCCCTCATGCTCCCTCATTCTTGTCCTGTTACATCTAGCAGAATCTGCATACATTAAATGCTTTCACAATGAGATTCTACTGTATATCATGGGGAACTGGTCAGAATACATCTATTAACACATCGCTTAGAACAAAGCAGTTAGTTCAGATTTGATATTAATGTATTGTGTTAGTTGAGTATGGTGGTCTAGCCATGATCACTAGAGTTTAGCATTCTCCATTTTGATCATCGTGTTGTCTTTTCTACAGCGAATTGAAGACCGAAGGTATTTCCCCTTATTTCATGCTGATTCGGTTACAGAAATGAACTGGCTGGCTGAAGATCTGATTTAGAAAGACTGCGTAAGTCTTATTTATTCTCTGAAACACAGCAGAAACTTCATGTTAAAATGGCACAATGCCATTATTTAAATTAAACTTATTACATACCAATGGCTTTGCAAGAAGATGACATTTTAGAAAATCAAACAAATATATAAGTAATGGAAGGACTCTTCAAAACTTACCAAACAGGTGAAGGAACCAGGTGCCTTCCCATGACGGTAGACAGATTCTGCTTTAAATTTAAAAAAAAAAAAAATCTGAATCTTGTTTTCAATTTTTCTTTCTAATGGGACTGTTTTAAGATTGTCAACTCTGAGTTTTTGATAGTGGTTTCTAAATGTATAAATAGAAGGGAGAGTGTTTATATGTATAAATGAGCATATATTTTCTGCATATATATGTATGAAAGGCATACGTATGTATAAATGAGCATGCATATTTGAAAGTTGACTTTTGGATGATAAGAAAGATCTCACAGTGACATAAGTTCATCTCCTGATCCATTGTTTGTGGCAGAATTATACTCAACTGAATTATGGGCAGGAGAAAGAGCCGATTCCTTTTAGCTAATTTCCCAACCCGTACGCACCTCTGAAGCTGACTATCATGGCTGCCTCACCACACCTTAGAGAATGACTGTTCTTCAGTAGTTCTGGGATTAAACATTGGGTTCTAGAGGTAACCTATGTTCATAAACACATAGGGGTGCACATGGTATCCTCTGCCTTTGTGACAAATTTTCTTCTTGATATTTATTAATAGTATCTAAATAAAATATTGGGGGGAATAGAAAAATAATGGTGTTAGCCCATACTTCCATGAAAATATATTTATTGTAGGCTCAAGGGAATAATGGCTGCTGTTTGCAGCCAGGAAGAAACTGAATTCATGAATTGGAACAGTGTATCTAGTGTTTTTGTGAACGTGTGCTTAAATTCTGATATATGTCTTCTTTATAGGTGGAGTTTGTGATTGCAGTGAATAAGACCTAACTTGCAGAAATGCAGACATATACTCAGGAAAGAACAAACTTTATTTAAATGTATAATGAGAGACTTGGTCCCTCTAAAGGATGAATTTCCTTTGGGTCTTTGGTCTTCCTTTCTAGTATAAAACTTTAAATATTTGCTCAGGAAAGATGCTTCAAGCCTTTCATTGTGGAATGTGAAATATCAGTGTTGTCTATAAAATATTTGAAGGTGTATAAAAATGAGACAATGTAATATATTTACAAATTCATCCAAGTACTGTAATGCTTGATTTGTTGCATAACTGTGTATGAATTTTATGCTTCATGGTATCTTTGGAAACATTTTTATTGCTTGCTTATTTTGAAGGTAAAAGTTATCTGTTAACATTTAGGGTATAGTTACTCTATGCCAGGAAGAAGTCTAAGTCCTTTATTTGTATTAATTCCTTTTATCTTCCCCAAAGCCCTCATAAGCAGATAGTATTATTCCTGTTTTACAGAGGAAGATACTGAGAGTGGTTGAGTAATTTGCCCAGCTGCTAACTGTAAAGCAAATATTTGAACCTTTTGACATGGCTATTGATATTCATTCTACTTGCTCACATGGTGGTCTGAGAAATTTCCCAGCGAAAGAAATCTCTCTCTTTTTGCCACTTTAATAAGCACATGGCTTCCTGGATGACTGCTTGTGTTATCCTATGGATGACAGTAAGAAACAACACTTACTGATAAAATCAATGTTTTGCTGAAATGAGTTGACGTTCACCAGTTGAACTACCATTGTGAGAACTCAGTTCAGACAAACTTCCCTGCTAAAAATCTGTGTATCATACATTTATTATTTATGACTTTATGTCAATTTCTTTGTAATACATTTTCAGGCACACTTGTAGGAAAATTAGGATCACGAATCCTGCTTTAAGAATTTGCAGTATACTAAGAGAATCTGTCTTTTACTAGGAGATCAGATTCCTTTTTTACCTCATTTATCATGCTGGATTGTAATAAATTGCAGATTTTGGAATAGGCTTATTTAACTGACCTAACAATTTTGATGATTTCCATTAGGATAACTTATGTTATGGTCAAAAGTGGAAAGACATTGTTGGTTTTTATTTTGGTTTCACTATACTCATTTTTGAACATGGAAATACAGTTGTGAAACAACTTATGCAAAAATTGTAACAGTGAGAAAATTATGACAGTGAATACCTCTGACCTAACTAACTATCTTACCTCCAAACTGCCCTTGGTCATTCCTGACTGTGGGCCAACCTACCTTTGGAAGAAATTAACTTTATTGCTTAATAAATGATAACAGCCCTTCCCAAAGCTAAACTGCCTTTGTAAAACTGCCTTTGAAAGGCCACTAGGTTAAGAGGAGAGGGGCCTAAATTCTGCTAAGGTATAGACACAGTTAAATGATAACCAGCCATTATTCCAGAGGTCACAAGCTATGCAAATTTCCCTGTCATTCCTGTAAATAACATCACTATTATAGAACCTAAGATTGGCCTTTTGAAATATCTTGTCAGGCTTCTGTGCTTTTTGTTTTTTGTTTGTTTGTTTTTGAGATGGAATCTTGCTGTGTCACCCAGGCTGGAGTCCAGTGTTGGTATCTCGGCTCACTGCAACCTCTGCCTCCCAGATTCAAGCGATTCTCCTGCCTCAGCCTCTTGAATAGCTGGGACTACAGGCACCCACCACCATGCCCAACTAATTTTTGTTTTCTTAGTAGAGATGAGTTTTGCCATATTGGGCAGGTTGGTCTTGAACTCTTGGCCTCAGGTAATCCACCTGCCTTGGCCTCCCAAAGTTCTGGAATTACAGACATGAGTCACCATATCCAGCCCACTTCTGCATTACTGATGACCAGGTGGCCTCACCTGAAGGAGCAGCTCCTCTGTGGCCCTCAACCAAAATTGGACTCAGTTCAGGAGGATTATTTTCTGCATTTCGATGATTGCATCCCCAACCAGTCAGCATTTCTCATTCCTCAAACAGTCTGCCCACAAAACTCTACTTGAAAAACACTAGCCTCTGAATTTTCAGGGAAGTTGATTTGAGCGAGCTCTATGTGTATAGAACTCTTTCTCTACTGCAATCCCCCTGCCTTGATTGGCTCTATGTGGGCAGTTGGCTCAATGTGGGCAGAGGGCAAGATAAACCCACTGGGCAGTTACAGTGGAATATAATACAGATGAGACCTGCTCATGATGTCTCCAGGCTCACTCTGGAAGTCTTTGGATTTGCTGAGAATAAAAATAAGCCATTTCAGAGGACCCCAAAAGTTCAAATTCTTCAAATATAAATGTGTCTTTATAATACTATCAGCCTTATCATTTATTTGTCACATATAGATTGTTTTCTATATCCTTATTATTTCCACTTTTATCATTTGAAATGCTTTAAAAAAAACACCTCTCAGTGAAAAAAAACAACAAGGGGGAATACTCTTTATTCAGCTAAAATAGTATTCTACAAGACATATAGGAAAAGAAACACTAGTTCAATTGTATTCTAAATAAATATACTTCTAATTACACTCTTGAATTTATTGGATAAGAAGGTCTGTGGTGGATCTGAAATTCATACATGAAGTCAGGAAAAGAAAAGAAACTTAGTACGTTGATTACATATGTTGTTACAAATTATCATTATGAAATATTTAAACAATTGCTCTAGTATATCTTTTGAATAATTGCTTATAATATGCCTTACCATAAATAAAATTGATGCTACATTGTGCAAATTATTTTATTTCTTTTTATATTAAAATTATGCTTCCGCAATTTTTCTGCTGCTTTTCCATTGATTCAAATTAACAATAAAATAAATCTACTAAGCTTTTACTCTAAATTTGAGTACAAGATTAACATAAAAGAATCAACATATTAACAGTTGATGAAAAGACAGATAGATCAATGGGAAGAAGGAAGAATCCATAAGTACGTCCATGTAGATGATTGATTGAGTTTTGAAAAAGATGTCAAGACTATCCAATGGGGGAAGGAAAGTCTTCCCAATGGTACCAGAAATACTGGAAATGTTGACATGGGTGGAGGAAAATAAACTGATCCTTACTTCATACCATATAAAATACAATAACTAACCTGAAATGGGCAATATGCCTAAATGTAAAGCTAAAACTACAAAATTTCTAGGAGAAAACCTAGTAGATTATCTTTGCAATATTAAGGCAGGCAAGATTCCAAAATAGCACACAAAGAACAGGAGGCATAAAAGAAAAAAATTGTAAATTAAATTTTATTAACATTCATCTCTTTTGCTTTTTGAAAGACACCACTAAAGAAATGAAAAGTAAGCCATAGAATTACAGAAAGTACTCACAACATATATAGGGTTTGAATCCTGAATACATAAAGACTCTTAAAACATAAATATAATAATATGATAAAAATGGGCAAAAATGATTGAACTATTGCTTCACAAAACGAGATATACAAATGACAAATACACACCTGAAAAGATGTTTAATACATTAGCTGCCAGGGAAATACAAATTAAAACCAATAAGAGATACCACTAATGTGGTATCTAACACTCCAACTCATTAGAAAAACAAAATTAAGATGAGTGGCCATTACTGAGGATGTGGAGAACTAGACATATTTTAGTCCAAGTGGGATGAAAACATAGTGCAACCACTTGGAAAACTGGCTGTTTCTTAAAAAATTAAACATGAACTTGCCATTTGATCTAGTCACTCAATTCCTCATTATTTTGCCTAAGGGGAACAATGATTTTGTCCACAGAAAGAATTGTATGTAAATTTTCATAGATCTTTATTTATAAGAGCCCCAAACTAAAAACAATTGTCCATTAACAGATAAATAGACAAACAAAATGTGATACACCCATATATGAGAATATAACTCAACAATATAAAAGGACCAAATCACAAATATATTCAGTGGATAAATCTCAAATCCTTATGCTAAGTGAAAGAAGCCAGAAGGAAAAAGAGGATATACTATATGCTATCATAATGATAGAGAGCAAATTAGTAGAGTTGACCTTGAACAACATGGCATTGAACTGCAAGGGTCCACTTATATGCAAATGTTCTTCTGCGTCTGCCACCCCTGAGACAGAAAGACCAAGTCTCCTCTTCCTCAGTCTATTCAGTATGAAGACAAAGATGAATACACTTATGATGATCCACTTCCACATAATGAGTAGTAAGTATATATTCTCTTCCTTAGGATTGTCTTAATAACATTTTCTTTTCTCTAGCTTACTTGATTGTAAGAATGCAGTATGTAATGCATACACCAAATATGTGTTAATCTAATACTTAAGTTATCAATAAGGCTTCTGATCAATAGTAGGCTATGAGTATTTAAGTTGTAGGGGAATCAAAAGTTACATGCCAATTTTTGACTTCCTAATTTGGGGATGGTCAGTGCTCACAAACCCTACATTGTTCAAGGGTCCCAGGGAGAGGAGTAGAGGGAGGAAGAGACTACAAAAGGGCACAAGGAAACACTGGAGGCCACAGCAATGTTCAGTGTCTCAAAATGGTGCTTTTTATGGGAACATTCCATGACAATGGTCATTACATTATACAGTTTAAATATGTGCAATGTATTGTATAGAATGTTTGCTTCAATGAAGTAGAAAAGACACTGTTATTCTGTAGTCCACCCAATTAGATTCTCTGGCAGAATTCACTCATTTTTCTTTCAACAAATATTTATTGATCACTTCCTATTTTCCAGGCATTGTTCTAGATGCCAGGGCTACAGTAGTGGGCAGTTGGTGGGTGGGGTAAGTAGGGTAAGTAGGAAGAGGCAGGGAAAAAACAAAAGTTTTTTGCTTTATGGGAATATATTCTAATGAGGAGGGACAAAAAATCAAGTCAGAGGTGTCTGAAGAATTGAAGAAAAATAGAGCTGAGCCCACAAATAGGGAGTTTTAGGGATGACAATGTGGTTGCAATTTTAAATTGGGTGATAATTTAACAAATGTTAACTATAGATTGGCAATATAAATAGGAGAGTAAGACCCTTCTATCATCTAAATCCTTACATATGCAATATATTTTGTCATATTTCCTTTGAATCAATCATTCCTTTTATTTTGATTAGTAAGTTATCCTTCCAGTTTTTTGAATGCTAAGCAGTGATTAGCCAAGAAGTTTTTGGAATTGGTATCTCAATCCCCTTCTGGGTCTAGTTTCCCTAATGTACTGAGAAACCACATGTTCTCTGCAAAAAGCATTGAAAGAAAAACTGCACCTAGATGGTTCAGTAAAGTGGTCTTGCTTTGACGTCCCCTCTTGGCTAGAGGAAATATCCTTGGAAGTAATGGGAGGAGAAAGGGCCCAAGGTTGCTCAGAGTGGGAGTACTCATAATTCAACATTCTAACCAGCACTACTCTAAATCACTCTTGGTTCACTTTCTCATGAGAGTGAATGAGCTCATGATGTAACTTTCTCAGGGGCATCAATCAAACAGATGAAGTCTTCTCTTGTAATATTGCCTCTTTTAATTTTTATCCTTTTAGTAATGGACTGCCTTTTGTCTTTCTCAGAGAAATGGTCCAAAGCTATGATAATTGAAAAAGTCAGGAGAGATCCAAGATGGCTGATTACTAGCAGCACATAATTGTAGCTCCCAGTGAAAGTGCAGTGAACGAGAGGATGCCACACTTTCAGACAAATTTTTTTTGCTCACGGACCAGGAGATTCCCAGCGGAGGAGCCCCACGGGTCACCAGCATGACTCTTGTGGCTGGCACAGTGGTTTTGTCGGTGCCCCAGTGTGGCAGTTCTTGGTGCAGAGTAAATGGGACTGGGTCCCCTTTTGGTCAATGTTTGGAGCTCTGGGAAGGTAGAGTCGCCCATTCAGCTGATTGAAAAAGGGACTCAAGAAGGAGGCGAGACCAGAGATTCCTAGACAGAAAAGCACCACAAATATTAATGCCGCTCTTTTAGCCAGCACAGTGAGTTGCTCAGATTCTGGTGCTGGGAATCAACAAGTTGGACGTCCACTCAGAGACCTAATTAGGAAGTCAGTAATTACAAAGACGACAAGTGGATAAACTCACAATGATGGGAAGAAACCAGCCTAAAAAGGAAGAGAATACCCAAAATCAGAATGCCTCTCTCTCTACAGGGGATCACAGTTCCTCATCAACAAGGGAACAAGGCCTGATGGAGAACGAGTGTGTTCCAATAACAGAATTAGGCTTCAGAAGGTGGATAATAAGAAACTTCCGTGAGATAAAAGAACATGTTCTAGCCCAATGTAAAGAAACTAAGAACGTTGAAAAAAGGTTTGGTGAAATCCTAACGAGAATAGACAATCTAGAGAGGAATATAAGTGAATTAATAGAACTGAAGAATACAATACGAGAACTCCACGAAGTATGCACAGGTTTTAACAGTCGAATTGATCAAGCAGAAGAAAGGATATCAGAGGTCAAAGACCAACTTAATGAAATAAAACGAGAAGACAAGATTAGAGAAGAAAGATAAAAAGGAATGAGCAAAGTCTCCAAGAAATATGGGACTATGTGAAAAGACCTAGTTTACGTTTGATAGGAGTACCTGAATGTCTTGAAGAGAATGAATCCAAGTTGGAAAATATTCTTCAGGATATTATTCAGGAAAACTTTCCTAACCTAGTAAGGCAGGGCAATACTCAACTTCGGGTAATACAGAGAACACCACGAAGATATTCCTCAAGTAGAGCAACCCCAAGACACATAATCATTAGATTCACCAGGGTTGAAATAAAGGAGAAAATTCTAAGGGCAACTAGTGAGAAAGGTCAGGTTACCCATAAAGGGAAACCTATTAGACTCACAGCAGATCTCTCAGCAGAAACCTTACAAACTAGAAGAGAGTGGGGGTCAATATTCAATATCCTCAAAGAAAAGAATTTTCAACCCAGAATCTCATATCCTGCCAAACTAAGCTTCATAAATGAAGGAAAAATAAAATTTTTCATGAACAAGCAATCACTCAGAGATTTCATCACCACCAGGCCTGCTTTACAAGAGCTTCTGAAAGAAGCACTATACACAGAAAGGAACAACCAGTATCAGTCATCCCCAAAACTTACCAAAAGGTAAAGAGTATCTCCATAATGAAGAATCTATATCAACTAATGGGCAAAATAGCCAGCTAGCATTAAATGACAATATTAAACTCACAAATATCAATATTGATCCTAAACTTAAATGGATTAAATGCCCCAATCAAAGACACAGACAGGCAAATTGAATAAAAAGTTAAAACCCATCAGTACACTGTGTCCAGATCCATCTCATAAGCAAGGACATACAAAGACTCAAAACAAAGCGTTGGTGGAAGACTTACCAATCAAATGGAGAGCAAAAAAAAAAAAAAAAACCCCACAAAAAAAACAAAAACAAAAACAAACAACAAACAACAAAAAAAAAAACCCCAGGAGTTGTAACTTTCATCTCTGACAAAATAGACTTTAATAGTAACAAAGACTAAAAGAAACAAAAAGGACACTACATAATGGTAAAAGGACCAATGCAACAACAGGAGTCAATGATCATAAATATATATGCACCCAATACAGGAACACCCAGATACATAAGACAAGTTCTTAATGACTTATAAAGAGACTTGGACTCCCGCACAATAATAGCGGGAGACTTTGACACCACATTGTTAATATTCAATGGATCAATGAGATAGAAAATTAACAGGGACATCTATGATTTGAACTCAGACCTGGAACAAGTAAACTCAGTGAATATTTATATAATTCTTCACCTGAGGTCCACAGAACATACATTTATCTCAGTATCACATTACACCTATTTTGAAAGTGACCACATAATTGGAAGTAAATCACTCTTCAGCATTTTTTTTATTTTTATTTTTTTTTGATACGGAGTCTTGCTCTGTTGCCATGCTGGACTGCAGTGGCGCAATCTCGGCTTACTGCAACCTCTGCCTCCTGGGGTCAAGCGATTCTTCTGCCTCAGCCTCCCAAGCAGCTGGGACTACAGGCGCGTGCCACCACACCCAGCTAATTTTTGTATTTTTAGTAGAGATGGGGTTTCATCACGGTAAGGATGGTCTTGATCTCTTGACCTCATGATCTGCCCACCTCTGCCTCCCAAAGTGCTGGGATTACAGGTGTGAGCCACCGTGCCCGGCCCACTCTTCAGCATTTGTATAGCATTTCACAGACTTAAATGAAATATTGATTGGCTGTTTGTTTGTTATTTTCTTCCCTTATTCCTTCCTGTCTCCACTGTTAAGCACAATTATCGGCATAAAAGAGGTTTTTGATACCTATTCTTAGATTGCATTCCAGCCTGGGCAATAGAGCAAGACTCCTGTTCCCTCTCACCCTTTCTTTTTCTCTTTCTTTCAAAAAAACAAAACAAAACAAAACAAAAATTGGGACATAACTCACATACCATAACATAAACACTTTTAAAGTGCATAATTCAGTAATTTGGGGTATGTTAAAAAGGTTGCAAAAAAAAAAAAAAAGAACAAGAAAAAGTCAGATTACCATCACAAAGCATTGAGTACCTATAATACAGCTTCAGTTAAATCTTAGTGTATAGGCTTCCTCAGCTGTAATGCAAGTCCCCTAAGTGAGTTTCTAAGAGAACAGCCACACTCACACTATTATGGCTATTCTTTCCCCACAAGTAGCAATCCATATTAGAAATGAAATTCTCCTTGGCATGGAGAACTATGAATAATACAGCTTTAAAAAGAGAAGTTCTATTATTACAGTGAATGTCCAGCTGCTCTATTTTATTTTATTTTTCCTCAATATGGGGCATGCTATGACTTTTAAAACATCCCATAAAACCATTAAGAAAAACAGGTTCCCAATTACTTATCTTGAATTATTTAAGATGAATCCAGTGGACAAAAGATCCTGCCTGTGAGAAACAGCATTATTGTTAGGTGCCAACCATTTATTTGCCTGCGGTGGGAGAGCTGTTTATCTTTAAATTAAAAACTCATCATTATCTTGGCAAAGCCGATCTAAGCAACATATGGAGGGAAATTCACTCTGGGAACAAGTCAGCCTTTGCAAATGAACACTGTAAAGGAAGCTGTATGGTTGTGGTCTAGAGTTGGCCTCAAATGCCAGTCTCACCAGTGTGTGACTAAGGTAGATACCACCACTTGCTCACCATTTTCTTATGGAGAAGAAATAGGTTATAATACGTGGAAGTGCTTATGTACCAAGGAATACTTCAACATGTTAATTCCTAAGTTTAATAAATGTTTCCTTCAAAATTATTTTAAAAATTCACTTGCAAAGCCTAGTTTGGAGAGAGAAGTAAAACTCACTGTGCTAAGTCCAAATCACTTATTTCCTAGTTCTGAATGGAATCCATTGTTAATGTGATACAGCTTCATTGTTCATATTGATTTAATGTTCCCCACTCATCATACACCCAACTTCAGCACAGAAATAAAGTCTCTTTGAGTACAGGAAATAATTGATAAAAATGCATTTTTTTATTTGAAAAGTGTGCAGAAACAATCATTGAATACAATTCGTAACCAGAGTATTCAAACCCAGACACCATGACGTCATTGGATGCTATGATTTCTGAAGCCACTAGAACTTTGGTACAACAAAATAATGACCTAACAGTGTGCATCAGGAACCACAGTCTATTAATGGGAATATATAATAAAAAATCCATGTTTATAGTTTTAAGTTACATTCATAGCACTAGGCAAATCAGGTGTGTATAGGAGACAGACAAAATAATCAAACGTGCTTAGCCTAAAAATAAGGATAATATTACTTGAAGGAAAACTCTTGGGATACAATGAAGCACTTCAGTGTTATATTAGAACATTCTTTACATTTAACACACTAAATCAGGATAATTTTTTAAAAAAATATTTTCAGATACAATCAGTATCTCTTACAAGGCTATGGACACAGAAAAAGTCCTATTTGTATATGGAAGATTTTGACCAATTTGTAATATACTACCTAGAATGTCATTGGTTTCCTTGGAAGAAATACAAGATGACATACATATTTTGTCAATAATGAGATGTAATAAACATTTTCAATCAAATACAATGGCTTGAAGTTGCCTGCCCATTTGTAATTTCCAATACCTCTACTGTACAAAAATTAGTGTGTTTTCCCTGCTCTGATACCTTTTTTCACAAAAAGCAGTTTAAATTACAACTGCGGTTTTTTAAAATTAGATTTTAGTTTGTAAATAGTGTCTATTTACAAAATGGAACATAATTTACAAACCACTTTCTTACACATTTCTCCTTTGAGCCAGACATGAACCTGTGAGGCACATAGAAACACTTACAGGGTTTATAAGCCTTATGTGAGGATAAATCACTAAGATATTTCATGGTCTCCAAGTTGTTCTTTCTGGCCCCTTTCCTTTCTAAAATACTAGGTCTTTTCTCAAAGAGTATTTGAAAAATAAATCACCTGGGAAAAGAATAAAGATAAATATATGTTACTACTTTTCTGAGAACAGAAACCATTTTGATGTGCCAACAGACATAAAAACAGAAGCCACTGATTAAATAAGGAATTTATTAGGTTAAGGTCAGACATGCTTGCTCCTACAGAATTTGCTAATAATTCTGTAGATAAAGTCAGCTGAGGGATGTAAGCCATTACTTCCACAACCTGCTGAAAAGGAACGAGGGAACCCATTCAATGAAAAGATGATTTCTTTGTATATATTTTTTCTCAGAAGATGACAAAATAGTTCTACTATTTTGGTACTAATGTTTTTGCTTGTTTGTTAGTGATATTCTCTCTATATAGGAAATGAGAAAACATCTCAACCATAGATTGTTGATACAAGGAACTGCAGGAAAGCATCTTTGTGATAGTACTCCCTGAAAAATTAATCAAAGTGCTTTGAATTTATAATATTTTCATAAATATAATTTATGGACAAATTATATTTATATGCAGAAAACAAAATGTCTCCAAGTGTCCCAAATTTTTATGCTAATGAAGAAATTTTTTTTGTTCAGATTTTTTACTAATTTAGTTCTAAGAGCATAAACCTCTACTTGGTAGAAGAAAATACATATTTTCTATGAATCTGGTTACAAAAAAATTATCTGTTACTAGGTCTTTCTTTATTCAGACTCAAAATCGACCTTCAACGTATGACCTTCTCCAGGTTCTGCTGTATTTGAGAGAACAATTTAAATATCTTTTAACTCTAATTGTGTTTAAAATAGTTCTTGCTTGACAATATCATTGTAGTTGGGTCTCCACCCAGAAATTCAAGGCAATAAATTTGTAAAATTCTCTATATATCCAACCACAAATTGTATCAGTTCTACTTTATGAGACAAGTAGCTTTGTGGATTTATAAAGCATTGAAATGACACTCATCTCAGATAATAGTCTATATCCATTTTCATGTATAAGAACTCAGCACCTTTCCCAGAAATAAGCTGACATCACCTTGGTCAAAGATCAAGAAGAAAATATAGTTTATGGTGAATTCTCAGACAACTTTTGCAAATAGAGGCAGCATCTTGGCATCTTAAAAAATGATAAAGCTTTCTCTAAAATATTCAAATACACTAGAGTGCTTTTAATGTCTTAAAGCTTGGTAGTAGAGCGGCAAAGACAACTATTCTATCACTTTGGCAAATACCAGCTCTCAGATCTTCTTTATAAACAGTTGTTATATATCTTAGGAAGCCAAAGACTTGGAATATTATTTCTTTATAATTAAGTGTTATAGATCCCAAATCCTTTATGAATGAGGATTTTTCTCTCAAATGTTTGGTGTAATACATAAGAAGGAAAGAATAATGTGCCTTTTTTTAAGTGAAGAGAGATGCAGAACAAAGAACAACCTGTTTCATGAACACAAGGTTATATACTATGCTTAACTAACCACTGCACCGACAATATTGCTTCTCTTTCTAACTGCTGCACTCACTCCACTGGTGAAGAGATATACGGGCTTCATCAAATTTGTTGATTCCCAGTGTACTTAATTTACAGCTTAAAGAATGTCATATTGTGACTATTAAATTATTTTTAATGTAGTCATGTCAAGCTTCTCTTTCTTACAAAGGGGATAAGAAAGGGCTGATTAAAACTCTTGCCTGTACAGGTTGGCAAAGAACAATTTATAATAGAAGCATGACAAAGACACCTATTTGGTTAAAAATAACAGATAAAATATTTACTTTAGAAATTGCTGGTTTGAATATTTTGCACGGTGATAGCTGATAATATGAAAATGACAGCAAATTGGATAAAGTGGTAATTTGCAAGAGTTTTGTTTGTTTTGAGACAGAGTCTCACTCTGTCACCCAGGCTGGAGTCCAGTGGTGAGATCTCAGCTCACTGCAACCTCTGCCTCCTGGGTTCAAGTAATTCTCCTGCCTCAGTCTCCCAAGTAGCTGGGATTACAGGTGCCCACTACCACACCTGGTTAATTTTTGTATTTTTAGTAGATACAGAATTTCACCATGTTGGCCAGGCTGATGTCGAACTCCTGAACTCAAGTGATCCACCCACCTTAGCCTCCCAAAATGCTGGCATTACAGGCATGAGCCATCGTGCCTGGCCAAGAGTTTTAAAACTCTTACGGAGAGACCCACAGGCTCAACTCTTGGGATTTAGTAGTTTCTCTGTCAACCCTTGACGTCTTGTCATCATCAGACCAAGACAAATATGTTCTCTGGACTATTTCTGATACATTTTTTCAAAGGATCTTTCTTTTTCTACCCTAAAAGGTAAGTTTGTACCTAATCACAGCGAAGAGTCTCAGGTGTGCCAACTCCATAAGAAGTAAGCAAGGAGACCAAGAGAAGGTGGTTATGCTCCCCAGATTCGAATAAAGTCTTTGCATTTCTTGCTGAAAATATCAGAAGATCTTTAGCTGTGGTAGTGTCTCTGTGAGGGCTTCCTATGATATAACATTATAGAAAATGAGCTATGTATGTGGTTGGGAACAAATTTGGTCACAGATGTATCTGAGGCACTGAGTTAGGGCAAAGTAAACATCAAACCAGTGTAAATACTCCAGAAATGATTTCTATATCAGAAAGGAGTTTCATGTACATTTTGAACATTTCTCCTAAATACAATATGTTTTACTAAAGCATTGGGAGATACTTAAAAACAGGATATATGTTGGCTATAAATACATGCTATTATGGGGTAAAGGGCATACAGAAATCTTTAAAGTAGTCTGTATACTTTATGGCACCAGATCAATTTGAAATTGTAAAATGAATTATACAATACTATCAATCATGAAATAATGAGAATGAATTTCTAATAATTGTTACATAAAATATGGGGTCAGATGTCAAATTTTATGGAGAAAATTTTTTAGATCAAACATTTATTTATAAATAGAATATTTTAAATCAGTTTGTCACTTTTCATTCCTCTTGAAATTATCCACTAATTGTTATTTTTATAGAAATATTTCCATAAGTATGGGCATCATCAGCCTCTGCTTCACGCTACAGCTATCAAATAATGATCTTAAAACAGACCCTGAAAAAAACACTCATTAAATAACTGACAATGACAGAATCTTAGCGTAAGTAAATCAATCATGTAACTGAAAATGAATAGAAACAAAAAGACATATCAAAATAGAATACTTTCGGGGTTTTATAAAGGCTTCACATTCCCTATTAAGGAATTGCAGGGGACATTACATTTTAAATCCAAAGAAGTAATTGATAATAATGACCACAGAAGTTCGGCAAATTTTGCCACAGCAATGGCAATATCACTTGTTTCTGCTCACTTTCCTTCCAGAAGAAACATCTTAAATGTTAGTTTTCTATCTTCATGGCACAGGCATTGAGATAACGAAGAGCATCTCAGAGGAAACACCATGAGAGGGAATACCCAACCACGATCCGTCTTAGGACCTGCCATGACGCTGCAGAAATCAGAGGAGCTGGGCAGTTAATGCTGAGAATTTCATTGGGGGTTAATAGCATAAAAGCTTCCAAATTATTCATATTTGGATTCATGGCACATTTATGTGTCTAGTCCATCCTAAGAACCTTATAAAGAGACATTTCCTTGGACCTGTGTTTCTGAAACTGATTCAATACCAGATAGAAGTTGGTAGAGGGAACTTAAATGACGGATTGGGAGTTTTAGAGTCTTCAATGTGTGTAACAAAAAAATATGTACAGAGTATGAAAAAAAAGGTTTGATTGGAAAAAAATTATAGGATGAGGAAACAGCCTGTCAAAAAATCATATGCTCATAATAAAAAAAATGAAAATACATTGTCTCTGTTATTGGTAAAATTGACTGAAATAAATAATATTTGATAGAAATGGCTTGTATTTATCAGAAACTAAGATAAAAAATTAATATAATGTTAGATTAGGCACAAGGACAGACTAGGCCGATGAAAAACAACTTTGTTATTATTTCTTAGAAAGAAAAGGCAGCTTTACATTAAAAAATACTGACCAATTTTTTGGTGAGATAAGATATAGGTCCTTCCTCACCCAAACCCCCAAATACGGCTCAACTATAGGTGTTTTGCCTTTGGCAAAATAAAATCATATTATGATACAGAATGAGGTATTATCATTTTTTATGTGATTAATGACATGAAAATGCAGAGTGACCACAGAATTGATCCATCATTGTTCCAAAGTTACTGATCAACAAAAATAGCACACCTGCATTTCTGCAATTGGTTGAAAGCCAGGAATGGGTGGGGTTTGGAGGGAAGAAATGTGATTTAGAGTTTCTAGTGCTTTTTTAAACTACAAGGAAACCTGAAATAATTGTCACTTTTTGCTTCATATCACCAGCATATTTCATCTAAAAAAATTCAGGGCTAGTTTTCCTTGACTGCATTTTAAAAGAGATTTAATAAACCATAACTGTTAATTTCTCCTTGTGACTATTTTATCAACATGTGCTAAGAAAACATGAAATGTGAAGCTGAACACCAAATTGATTTCTAAACTTTTGTTTAAAATGGAAACCTCTGGAGTTCTCTTAATCCCAACTGATAATGTCAGCTCCTAATTGGCGTGAGTGAAATTTGGCTAAGTAACCCTTCCAGACATCTTTAACAGATACAATTAATTTCAGCTGTACAAATGCCAACCTCTCATACTTTCATTTTTTTCCCAGGGTATTTGTCTTGTACTTTGTCATTTACAGTCCTGTTCTTGTCGACATGCTATTTATTAAGAATATAAAGATGGCATTATGACACTATCTCCTGCATTTTAGCAGAAGTGTGACATTTACCTATTTGTAACCTTATCAGTAATTTAGTCATTCTAGTACAGCTTTTTGGGTATACATAGTAATGTCATTCATAATGCGCCAAATAGAATTCTTCATTGTGTATCCATTTTTAGCTAGTACATTTTCCCCAATGCAAACTAAAATTATCCATCTGATTCAATACAATAAGTAAATCCAATCTTTTGAAATTCTTCTTCCTGTGTTCTCCCTTTAGTAGCCCACCCTTTTCTTCAATGTGATAGGTAACTTGTTCTCATTTAAAACTCACTGATGGTTCTTTTATATTGTCTTATATACTCATTTTCTCTATAACAAAAATAAATTGAATATCCATGATAATGAAACCACATTGGGAAATCTTTCATCTTGTCTGAAAGGGCCTCAGGGATAACTAGTCAATTCTTTTCAACACTGTTGACTATTCTGGTTTCTTAAAGTAGATTTTTTGGCAGAAAAAAGAAAGACATGACATTGTGTATAGTTTACTCAACAACAATTGCGTGGTTTGTCATTGTTTTTAAAGGTCATATTTGGGTGGGGTTCTTGACAATCAGTTTCTATGTGGAGTCTAGCAGGCACATTTCTTCTCTGGTGGCTTTTCCCCATCCAGCTTTCCAGAACTTCCACCATTGACAGCATCGGGGATTTGTGTCTTCTCCACACACTGGTCCATTCGCTTCATGATTAAGTCCAAAAGGGTTTCTACAGCTTTCTCCACATTCTGTCCAGTTGCTGCACTTGTTTCAAAATATGGTATGCTAGCACAGAAGGGTGGCAAATATTTTTTGAGAGGAAGAAATCAGAACAGATACAGCAAGATGTACAAGTGAGTCATACATGCAAAAATGGCTGGCTGAGAGATTGTGAAAAAATTATGTTTTTGCTGGCTAAGTTGGAAAGCATCCTTGTTTTTTCCTTCAGTGAGTAAAAATTGGTGAGCTGCTTTTTAGTGTGGTTATAACCAGTTTTATGGGCAAGGAAATTGATACAAGAGGTAGTCAGGAAGTTGAAGCCAAAGCATTATCACTGTTTAAAAAAATTAGGAAGAGAAAAATACCCCATGATCAATAAAACTACCAATCAACATTACTATTAAAATACTGCTTCCCTTCCACTCAATTATCTGGAAATCTGCTTTTGAAGACAGGCATGCATTGGCCAGGTACAGTGACTCATGCCTGTAATCCCAGCACTTTGGGAGGTCGAGGCGGGGGGGATCATGAGGTCAGGAGATCGAGACCATCCTGGCCATGGTGAAACCCCATCTCTACTAAAATACAAAAAATTAGCCGGGTGTGATGGCATGCACCTGTAGTCCTAGCTACTCAGGAGACTGAGGCAAGGGAATCACTTGAATCTGGGAGATGGAGGTTGCAGTGAGCTGAGATCATGCCACTGCACTCCAGCCTGGTGAAAGAGCAAGACTGTCTCAAAAAAAAAAAAAAAAAAAAAAAGAAGGAAAGAAAGAAAATAGACATGCATTGAATAAGGCTATTCGTGTGAATACAGTCAATATTTATTCAGAATTAAAAGTTTCAAGAAGACTTGTAAATTGTACAGCTCTTAGGGAGAATTCTTCCATAAAAAAATTGTCAGGCATGATAAAACTACTTTAAATTTGAAAAATAATGACAGAGTCTGCCTCGGAAGTCAATTTACAATTACACGGGGTGTTGTTTCTGTTGTTGTTTTTTTGTTTTTTTGTTTTTTTTGTAAGCTGCCACTCAAGCTCAGCTGGGATAAAGACTACATTTTCATGTCCATGTCAGGGATTATTTCTTAGAGTTTTATGTCTATTGATTAAGAGGCAGAAGAATAGAGTGTTGAAGAGCATGAGCTTCGATCTCAGACTGCCTGGATTGAGTTGAAGCTCTGCCTCTTACTAACTGTGTGGGGTGGCCTTCCATTAGTTTCTTAATCTCTCTGTGACTCAATTCTTATATATAAAATGGGATAACTCTAGTTATCTCCCACACATGGTTTTGAGGGGTCAAAATGAGTTAGTGTCTAGGAACTGTTGCCAGCGCATTGTAGGTATACAGTAAACGTTAGGTGCTGTTATTATTAAGTAATTCATTAATACATCACATCTATCTCTCTGAAAGATCTTTTTAATCCATGTGCAGTTCTTGGTTATGGGAATTTCTTCTAATATCATTCGCATGTCCCTGCTCCATGTGTTGAACAGAAGTGTGCAAAGTCACATGCTGTCTCCATGTAACGGACTCACCTGTATTTGTCAGCCAGTTCCCGAGCTTGCCGTTCATTGACTTCCCTCTGGTCTGGTAGATCTGCTTTGTTGCCAATTAACACTATATCTGGGTTTTCACAATAAGCATTTGCTTGCAGTTGGCCTGAAAAGAAAGCAGACGGAACCAGCAAGTAATTGATAAATAAGTAATGTCAGATGATTTGCTCTTATTCCAGATTCCTGATCTAATGTTCATCTCCAGTTTGGTTGCTTACTAGTTATATTAGCCAAGTTACTTCCTCTTACCAGTCACAGGGTGCTCATCTATAAAATGGAGATAATACCTTACAAGTTGCAGATTATGGAAAGAACTAAAAATATATATAAAGCACCTATATCAATACCCAACATTTAGTAAATGTTAGGTGCTTTTATTATTGAGTAATTCACTAAAACATCACATGCATTCATCTGGAAGATCTTTTTAATCCATGTGCTGTTCTTAAGGGGATTTCTTCTAATAATGTATATCAAATTGCCAGCACATAGTAAGTATTCAGTAAATATGGAATACATCTGGGGAAATGTCCTTTGAAGTGGCCATCACTGCGTCACACCATTTGTTCCTCAAATACAGATGGAGATAAATAGAACATGATTTTTAAGTGAACAAATTTTCTTTATCCTTTAGGAAGTTGCTATATTTCCCTTCCCTAATGTCCAAAGTGATGATCTATAGTGTGGAACATACTTGAATCACTACAAATTCATGTAGAAACAGTTTTAAGACAAGTAACTTGTTTTTCTCTTTTCCACAAAAAACACTATGTGTGTGGGGGGTGGTAAGGAGACAGAGAGAGAGGGAGAGGAGGGAGAGAGGAAGGAAGGAAGGAAGGAAGGAAGGAAGGAAGGAAGGAAGGAAGGAGGGAGGGAGGGAGGGAGGGAGGGAGGGAGGGAGGGAGGGAGGAAGGGAAAGAAGAATGGAGAGAGGGAGGGAAAGAGGAATGGAGGGAGGGAGGGAGGGAGGAAAGAAGGAAGAAAGGGAAGAAGGGAAGGATGGAGGGAGGAAGAAAAGAAGGAGGGAAGGAAGGAAAGGAACTCAGGGAGAAAGGAAGGAAGGGACGAATGGGGAGGGGAAGGCAGAGCAGGGAAGGAAGGTGAGGGTGAGAAAAAAAAAGAAAAAAATGTAAGAAACCTGTCAAGCTGTGTTTTTTGAGGTTACAGAGGCTACTTAAATGCTATCATAAAGCATGTTTTGTGCTACCTTGCTGAGACTAGAGGAAGAAGACAAAGGCTTACCCTGTAAGACCAATTACTTGGGTGTTAAAATATTCAAGTGTTATTAGGCATGACAATTAATTATTTTAAATCCCGGAAATGTCCTTCTGGAGACATTTAAAAACAAGGGAGACTCTCATCTGCCTTGAAAAAGGATAAACAAACCATTCTCTGAAAGAATTTAATAAGCTTATTATCTCCTTGTCTTCAGAATCTAATGCTACCACCAAAATTTGGGTAAGGAAATACAGTATTAAGTGGAAATAAAGGACAGATCCTGAGATAAACATATATTTGGAGAGGCAATTACAAAAATCAGGATTTGCTTCCCCATAGGTTACAACAATTTTGAAACCACGCTGAGAGTGGTTCTATATAATTATTATATATAATCATGAAATATATACAAAATAAATTATTAATTTTACATAATATGTAGTGATAAGAAATATATTTATTTTGAGCACTTGCTCTGTGCCAGGCACTCATCCAGGTATGGCATATTACACTGAAAAAAAAATGGAAACATCTGCACTTTCATAAGTGCTTACATTCTAGTGGAAGAAAGTGTCAAAAACACAAGTAAACCAAAAACACATCACATCATGTCAGGTGATGGCTGGGACTGAACAAACTCTAAAGCATGTTGAGGGGATACAGAGTGATGAGTACTATTTCAGATGGGGTAGTCAGTCAAGAGATAAACAAGGCTTGGTAAAACTTGAAGGGGGTGTAGAAATGATATGGTTTGGATCTGTGCCTCACATTGAAACGTAATCCCCATTGTTGGAAGCGGGAACTAGTGAGAGGTGATTGGATCCTGGGGGAGGATTTCTCATGAATGGTCTAGTACCATCCCCTGGTGCTGTTCTTGTGATAGTGAGTTCTCATGAGATCTGGTTATTTGGAAGTGTGTGGCACATCCCCCTTTGCTCATGCTGCTTCTGCCATGTCAGATGCACCTTCTCCTCCTTCACCTTCCACCATGATTGTAAGTTTCCTGAGGCCTCCCAGAACCCAAGCAGATGCGAGCAACATGCTTCCCATATGGCCTGCAGAACTGTGAGACAATTAAACTTCTTTTCTTTATAAATGACCCAGTCTCGGTTTTTCTCTACAGCATTGAAAGAATGAATGCAGCAAGTAAACCAAAAAAAAATGTAACACAGTATCAGGTGATGGCCATGACCTATAAAGTGTGTTGAGGGGATACAGAGTGATAAGTACTATTTTAGATGGGGTTGTCAGTCCAGAGATAAATAAGATTTGGTCAGAACTTGAAGGGAATGAAGAAACTAGCACTAGGCTGTAAATGGGAGAAGAGAAAACAAAGGGGAATGGCAATTTTTCATATTGGGAATAACATGGGAGCCAGCTGGGCTGAAGGCTAGTGAGTTGGGCCCGAATAACAGGAATTAGAGAGGAAGCCCAGATAACACGGTGACCTTGTCGGTAGGTGAAGGACTCTAGATTTTATTCTGGGTAAGATGGAAAGTTACAGAAGGACTTTGGGCAGGAGAATAACAAGTTCTAGTTTTTAAAAAATACCTCTCTAACTACAGATGGCCCAGACAAATCTGGAAATGACAAGAGCAGCCCCATAGGACGACTCGTCTGTCCTGCTATTAGTGTATCCTGCTAAGATCAAAATTCTTACTTGTAATAAAAAATACAAATGAAATATGCCCCTTATTGCTACATCAAGTAAAACGTAAAGGAAAATTCTAATACTTCTTTCCTGTGTTGATGTATGTCAATATGACTTTAGTAATTGATTAGGGAACACTTCAATTTTTATTATAACTAAGTTTTTATTATATCAAAGGCTGGAGATTCATCTTTACATGGTTTCCTTATATTTGAAGCTTTTTTGAAAAGTAAAATGCCCAAAGGGAGCTGACTGACTGACACACTGTGCCTCCCCTTATCATCAGGCAACTGGTCCGTTCTGGTTTCACACCTAATTAACCCATCAGCACTTAACATGCCTTAGGTGTCAGTGTCCCCTCTCAGAAAACACTGCTGGTTTTCCTTGTGATCTCTCCAGGTCAAATATAGTAGCTCACTTAGTTTTAAGAAGTCCTTCAAGATTTATTGGAAAAGTGGAATTAATGGTCTTTAAATGACAATAATAAAGATCATAAATACAGGTGGTGATAAAGCAAGGTAGACTTCCTCTAAAAATAACAAAGGAAAATACAGTTTCAAACTGCCTTTGGTGGTACACATAAAGGCCACCACTTTGAAGGTGACACAGGCAACACTCAACTCATGACTTTGAAAATTAATCTGTGGTACCCAATCTGGTTGCATCTTGTGAGACCAACAAGCACCCAGGGCAGTTGGGTCCCAACACGGCCAATGTGCATTTCTCAGTCTCACTTACTCATCCAGTTTCTGACATTTAAGAAGCTCTGTTGACTGGTGAGGTCAAACATTAATAAGAAGCCCATGGCGTCTCTGAAAAATGCAGTGGTGAGACTCCGGAACCTGCCGAGGAAACACAGTGGGAAGTTCTGAAAGTTAGTGCACACACTTTTGACAGCAACACTAACAAGTTTCCCTTTCAGGTATTAATTCTCCATGGCTGGCCCTTATGGAATATCCTAGGGAAATGGGAATGTGGGCAGACAGACTGTTGAAGAACCAAGGGAGAAGATTTGATCGTAGTTTGTTTGTTTGTTTTACCGCTTCCTGGTTTTCTGGTCTCACAGCACTTGGTACACACAGTTTGTAACATTCAATCACGGATTTGCTTACACAGCTTTTTGGAATCTTTTCTTTTTTTGGCTCGTGGGCATTTCGTGGTCTACAATTAAAATGTAAAGCACTTTAGAGTGGGCACTTTAACTTATACTTTCCATCTTTCTTGTCTCTGCCCAGAAGAAAGCTTGGCACACAGTAGCCTGAAAATGAATGCCTGTGATGATATGAAGAAAACCGCAACTTCTTAGCTACAGGAAATGGAATTCTTTTGTAGGGAAAAATATTGATGACAAAACTCTTTTTAAAAAGCACTGTTTTGGGGTAAAACTGAGCTTCAGGTTGGCATCTAGGATTCACAAGGAAGAGGAAAATGATTGGAGGACTGAGTGAGGCTCAGGACAGAAAAGACATAGTCATTGGGGAAAGAAAGAAAGAACTCTCATTATTAATCAAGATTTTGGAGAAATTTGCTCTTTCGTGTGCAATGCAAAGTTTTTCCCTCCCTGGTCAGCTTTCCATGCCCCCACCCCCAACCCCAGACACTACCAACCATCTTTAGTGAAGTTAAAGACATGCTGAGATTCACTGCAGTATGAGCAATGGGCAAAACCAGAGAGCACAGATAGGGACCAGAAAAGGTTTTGAATTTGGCAGTGGGTTTTTAGAAAGGCACATAGCTTTGAACTAGTGATATTGCTTCCTATCCTAAATGTTCTTCTAATATTTTGTCTCCTATTTTAGCCTATTTTTAGATCCTTTGTGTTGGTTTCCTCAGAGTTCTATTCTTGACTCCTCTTCCTCCATACACATTCACTGGATAATCTTATCCACTTCACCAGCTCAATTGTAGCCTGTAAATTGAGAAGCCCAAAATTAGAAATCTAGTGCTTCCCTGCCTTTCACACTGGGTGCCTAATTACCCGTTGGATACTTCCACCTGGAGGAAACTCAGGTACCTCCAACTTCATACACCCAAAACCAAACTGGCCACTCTTCTTGATTTATTTTCTGTCTATGATATCACCATCCTGGTTGCCATGATCTCTTCCTCCTTCACTTGCTGTCTACAGTTAACACATGTCTTTTGACCTTCTCATTTCTTACTCTGCCCCTGCTCTACTTCCAAACTCACTCTTTCTCACCTGGACAACTTCAACAGCTTTCTCATTAGGCTTCCTGTATCCAGTTTTTTGGGACCCTACTCCTATCACCACTCCATTTCTTCCCATAGATTATATCAATGCTCCATGAAAGACATTTTAATGATTATACATCACTCATAAGCCAATGCACAAACTCCTTAAAAAGCTGTCAAGGCTCTGCAGGAAGTGATCTTTGTTCATCTCTCCAGCTTCATCTCTTTGACTACCCATAGACATGCTGATCTTCTTTTAGTTCTTAGAAAGTTCACTCTGCTCCCCTGGGCTTTCACACATGCTGGTCTTTCTGTGGGTTACCTTGTCTCTGTGCTTCCTTTACTTCCTACCCTTCCTTTATCCAGGATAGCACTCACTCATACACTGTGCATGAGTACATTCATAATGGTATCAGAGGAAATATCACTTCTCCAAGGGAACTTCCCAAGACAGTATGTGGGCTATGGGCTCCTCCTGGTGGGCCTGCCTATGCCTTTGTTTTCTTGTTACTATTCTAAGGCTCCATTGCAATTGTTTTTTCATCCAAATTCTATCCTAGACTGTAAGCTCCAAGGGGAAGGGAGCTGTGTTTCTAACTTGCTATCTGTCATATTTTTATGGCTCAGAACATGGTATTTGCTCACTAAATATTTGAGAAATTAAACGGTGCAAGAGAAAGAAAGAAAAGGTAAAAGATATACAATTGTTAAATATTTTAAATGACTGCAACAGAGAATGATACTTTTCATACCAAAAGATGGGAGAAGAGATATTTTCACTGCTATTTATTTCCAAAGTAGGATTTGTTTGTAGGGCATCATCATGATCTAAAAATTCAGAGCAGAAATACCAAAAAAATTTATTTAATTTCTTCTTGTGGATTTGTTTCTACCATTCCTTGGAAGCCCATAGAGATTACAGTGTTTTATTAAATAGTTCTCCCTCTTTGGAAACTAGCTGTACCCACAAAATTGTCTCCTACTCAACCATAATTGTGTCATGCCAGAAAAACTGCTTTGTTCTCTCTTTAAGTGCGTATGTCTCATTTGAGGACAAGACTGTGTGTTATTCCCTGTCATTGCCCGGAACATATGACAAAGTTAATCACAAACTTGCTTGCCACACTGATCTGATTGAGGCAAACACTTTCTCCTCCACAGCAGCATGGATAGAACACGCTTGTTCCAGAGCAGTAACAGATATCCTGGTCCTTTCTGTCTAGTATCTTTGATATCCCCTACTCCCCCCACTCCTGGGGAGACAAGTAATTCATTTCCAGCCTTCCCTACCCATCTCATTCAGTCTGTTAAGTCAGCCGGGTGGAGGAAACCAGTAAAACCATGTTCCAAAGAGTTAAAGAAACCAATGACGAACAGAAATTGAGTTTGCAGGATGGCAGATAAAGAAGGAAAAAACTTGCTGAAACAATGAAACTCCCTCTGCTTATGAGATAAGAGAGCTGGCTGAAATTGATTGAAACCGATATGGCCAACTGGAATCTGTACAGAATGAGCTTGCTAATGTCACAGCCTGAATTTTTAACACGTGTTTCCCACTAACTCCCCTTGAATTTCCACATGTGACCCCGACATAGCAAGCAGACATAAGTGCGCATGTCCAAGGACTTTCCAGCCCTCCCCTTTCCTTCCACCAATCACCTGTTAATCTCAGAACCCACCCCCCGCGCCCCAACCTTTTCTTAAAAAAAAAAAAAAATACTGCTTCAAAAGCCAGAACAAAAGGACAGATTTGAGCTTGACACTCCTGTCTCCCTGTGAGTCAATTTACAATAAAACCTTTCCTTTTCTCAAAATCCAGTGCCATAGTATTGGCTTCTAGTGCATTGAGCAGCATGCCCCGTTTGCTCGAGGATACTAGGATCACAGAAGATACAAACCCCAAAGTTAATTACCACTCTTCCCAGTCACTGGGAATGAAGGCTGTGCCCTACATCCTTTAGTTTTCCTTAAGGACCATGTGTTTCCTCTTCCTTCCCATGATGTGACTTCTGCCAATATCTATTATCTTCCATGGATTGCACTGCCAGATGTCCTTAGGCACAGGGCTGAGGTGTGAGGCATTGCTTATCTTGTTGCTTAGCTACACCTTATATATACACACAGAATGCAAAATTCTCAAGGGATGAATAACCCAAGTGTTACGAAGACTGCCCTGAGTCTTCCCCATTTCCCCCATAGAGCAGCTGCCTTCAGGGGACAGACAGAGAAGGCTGCCATCATGCAAGGCTGACATATCATGTGTGAGGACATATGGGAACCACATTTTCTCATATTACTTCTTCAAAAATGAATTAAAGTGCTCTATAAAACATACATCTTTGTGACAACAAAACTGACATATGAACAGAGATTCTTGTGAGGAATGGCTTCAGAGGAACCAGCAGTGTTGAAGGGTGTGTGTAAATGGAATTCACAGTCAAAAAAGCTAACAGAGAGGGCCCAGCACCTCTCCTGGCGTTTACACTCACTGAAAGCGAGAACACTTTGGATGCATTTCAAAGACGGAAGTGTTTACAAGCATAAGCATAATAAGACATAAGATGCAGAATTTGGAGGTATGTGCTTTCTAAATATCCTCTCTGCCAAGTTTTTGCCACTTTTAATTTAATCTAATATTGAAAAGCTTCATTAGCTTAGGGTCTTTAGCACTTTGAAATTTTGTTCCCCAAAAAATATTTTTTCACCTAGCAATAGAATAGTACCAAATGGGGGTGAAGGGGAGAAAGCAAACAAAACACACTGCCATGTGTGTACCTATGCAACTGTATTGCATGCTCTTCACATGTACCCCAAAACCTAAAATGCAATAAAAAAAAAAGAATAGTACCTCCAGCTCTTAGGAATTACCACCACTATCTACCGAGTATTATCTTGGACACTGTACCAGAGACAATGCTGAAAGGTCAGGCAAGATCTCCACACCTGTAAAGCTGACAATTTTATTGGAGTGAGAAGGCCCCAAGTAAATCAGTGAACAACAGTTAAAGATACAAATAGAATACTAATCTTATGACAAGGTGGCATATTACTTTAGACCTTAATGGTGAAATAACTGGTGTTTGCAGGAGTTCAGAGGAAAAGTGGGAGTTTGTTTCAGCTGGGGTGTTCAGACAGGCTTCATAGAGGAGATGAAATATGAGCTAGGCCTGGTGCAAGGAGAGGATCAGAAAAAGTGGGAAGAGAGTAAAATATTCTAGCTGGAGGGTAATTGTTTACAATCAGTCTGAAAGGACAAAGCCAGTCACATGGCATGGGACAAAGAAGCTGTGCTGAAATAAGAGAGAGACAAGAAAGATCTTAACATTCTTTCTTCAACTCCCTCTTCAAGTAGCACTTGTAACAGCATTTATTTCCCATCTTCATTCAATTAAATTATGAAAACCCCCCTTTTTTTCTTCTAAAAAGTGCAAAGACAATGCATAACAAGAATCGCCAGAGATATATTTGAAAGTCTGATTTTTGAAATTTGTACCAACTGCACAGTGCTACTGAGGTTAATTACAACCCATTTATATTTATTTCTGGATACTAATGTCTAATTTGAAACCAGCAGAAGAGTTGCATATTATTTGTTTTTCAAGTTTACATATAGCATTCCTTTTAAAGTAAGTTTTTCTGAGCTATGTGTAGCTACAAATAAAGCAATTTACTATTACCGCTCTTGTCCTGCAGTGTCCCAAAGCTGAAGATGCACTTTAAATGCTTTCCCTGAAGATCCATTTGGTCCTTGTGTATTATAAACCTGAAATACATAACGTTCATTAGTTGAGGTTGCTTTGGATTTTGTCAACACTCAAATTCTCTGGGTTCACTCAGCATGTTTTTTCTCAATTACTGTAATCAAAGTTCATAGTGCAGAATAAATATTTGCTCTATTTTTTTCCAGAATTATCACATGTACTCTCACTTTTAAATGTCAAGTGCAAGTATGATTTTCAACACAGTTTAGGCATATTGCAAACTTAAATTAGACGCCTTCTGTCATTTTCTCATGAGGCAGCAAACATCAGATTTAGGACCCAAGTTCTAGGTTCAAATGCAAACTCTTCATTTAACCTCTTTGAGGCTTATTTTCTTATCTCTAAATAGAGAACCGACCCCTTCCTACTTTACAGAGTTACTTCAAACTGCAAACTTTGGTGAAATCACAGATGTTAAAGCATTTTTAAAACAGTAAAGTGTTTTATAAATACACAAATATTCTTTACTGAAAAATATACTTTCAAAATGCACAGAATTTCTCAATAAGTTGACACAGGACATTTAAAGCCTTTCTTCACTAGTCATTTAGTCAAAGGCTCTTTTTAGGTAAGTTTAATTTTTTTAAAAAAATTCTGGCCTTTTTATTGTTGAAGCAAAGCCCAAAACATTTAATATTACTCAGTTTCCTTAAGTATAGTTTAGTGAATATGTTTTAAAGGGAAAATTTTGCAAGGACATATACCCAGATAAAAGAAAGGACGGAAGGCAGGAAAACCCTGAATAAGTTATTAGGGAGTTTGCTAAGCCTGCAGGATCATGTACTGACTTTCAGATAAGGTCCAGAACATTATAAGAAACATGATTCAACTTGCCAGGCAATGGCTTCCAACTACCATTCTTTTGTTTTTTTCCCCAGTTCTCAAGGAATGAGTAGATTTGTGACATCAACTGGAAGCCATAGCCATTTGGCAATCAAGAATACCCAGGGTGGCAGTAAATCTGGCTGAGCTTCTGTGCCTATGCTACACATCTCACATGTCATAATATCCTTATTCCTGTCAATAGCGTCTAGCATAGGAGAAGGAAGTGGTTGTGATTCTCACTTAAACTCCCTTATCTTGGAAAATAGCATGATTGGTCTCACATTCTGTTCATAAGAAGCCAGTGATTGATGGCTGAGTCTACACATAAATAAAAATGCAGCAAGAACTTACAAAGCTTGTGTTCCAGATATTTGCCAATCATGCTTTTAACTTCTTTCTTAAGAGTGGGGAAATGATCACTTGCTCTTATAGAGGAATTTAAGTCAGATTAGAGTTAATGTTTTTAGATTCTAATAATTCACATTTTGAAAGATTTCTTAAGAATTCATGGAAAACACACATACAAATCTGTAAAATATTGACTTGGGTTGCCTTGTGTAATTTGGGAGATGAGAGAGTGCCACTTAATATATTTTTTAAGAAAAATGTTATTTATAGCTGAAAAGTAGTAAATAATATTCTAAAATAAAGTGACAGGTTATGAATTTCATGTGACAAAAGACAGACTTGAATGCAATCAACATAGCTTCTGGATTCTTATTTTATATAGGGGGATGAGTGACAAGTACGATTAAAAACTCACCACACGTTTTTCCCGAAAGTCTATTCCTACTGTAGTGATGAATTTGGGATTGAATTTATTGTCTGTGTATCTGTAAAGAAATGTTGTCTTCCCCACCCCTGAATCTCCGAGGGCCAGGAGTTTGATCAGATAGTCATAGTCTCCATCGGTCATAGTGATGGTCTTGGTCGGTCTGCAAAGGAAAGGGGAAAAAAGTGTGATGATGAAAGTTGATTTTCCTTTGCCTTATATCAAAATCCAACACAAATTTAATTTTCAGGGTTAAAAAGTCTAATACCTCTATTCTGCCATATTCAAAATTAATTTGATCAAAGCAGCTTTCAGGGTGAAGGCACATCTAGTATTTCACTGGGTACAAATCTTTTTACATCACATCATCTAATATGGAAAAATATGTGAAATACCAATTGCCACAGTATATTAGTCTGTTCTCATACTGCTGTAAAGAACTGCCTGAGACTTGGTAGTTTATAAAGGAAAGATGTTTGACTTACAGTTCCACAGTTCTGCATGGCTAGGGAGGCCTCAAGACACTTAAAATCATGGCAGAAGGACTCTCTTAATAGGTGGCAGGAGAGAGAATCAGAGCTGAGCAAAGGGTGAAGCCCCTTGTAAAATCATCAGATCTTGTGAGAACTCACTTACTATCATGAGAACAGCATGAACAGCATGAGGATAACTGCCCTCATGATTAAATTGCCTCCCACTGTGTCCTTCCCCCGACACAAGGAGACTATGGAAACTATAATTCAAGGAAAGATTTGGGTAGGGACACAGTCAAACCATATCACACAGCAGTAGTAGAACTTAAAGTAAAAAGTCATAGACTTGTGTTTTAAAACCAGCACATTTGGGATTAACAGGATGGTATTAGGAAGAGGAGAGAGTCACAGGGGACAGAAAACCCAGTCCAAGACGATGCAGATATCCTAGAGAAAGGCAGCACTTATAGACAGATAATGGAAGAAAAAAGCAGAGGGATCTCTTTTGCATCTAAACATGCAGGATGAGCCTTCTATATAATTTGTACACAAATCATTCCCTTTTAATTAAAAAAAAAATTTAACAACTGGAATGAAAACCTTTAAACCTGTACTGGTAACACCAAGAATACCAGGACATGTATTTGAATGACACAATTACCTACCTGGTGAAATATCCACTCCTGAGTTGAGCAAAATAATTTACTGTTTGGTACAACTTCCTGAATCATGGGTTATAATTAATAGAAATTAGCTTGTCATATATGTAAAGGAAGGCCTATGAAGATTTTCTAGAATGCAAAGGTTTATCTCATTATTATATGAGGAGGAATACTTCCCCACTTCTGAAGATCCAGAAAACACTGTATTCTTTAAGCCTTCCAGGATAATTAAAATCAAATGTCAACAACAGCCTATTCTATGGACATGATATGGTTAGGCTTTGTGTCCTCATCCAAATCTCATCTTGAATCGTAATCCCCATAATCCCCACAAGTCAAGGGAGAGATCAGCTGGAGGTAATTGAATCATGGGGGTGGTTTGCCCAAGCTGTTCTTATGATAGTCAGTGATTTCTCACAAGATTCGATAGTTTTATAAGGGGCCCTTCCCCCTTTGCTATCTCCCTTTCTCCTGCTGCTTTGTGAAGAAGGGGCCTTGCTTTCCCTTTGCCTTCCACCATGATTGTAAGTTTCCTGAGGCCTCCCTAGCCATGCAGAACTCTTCATTAATTAAACCTCTTTCCTTTGTAAATTACCTAGTCTTGGGAAGTTCTTAATAGCAGTATGAAAATGGACTAATACAGGAAATATCTAAAATCACTAGATAATTCTAATAACTTTTTATGTGTAAAAACATTGTACAAGTTCATGTACAAAAAATTAAAACAATTTTTTATGTTGTTACTCTAGTCACCAATCAAAACCAGAAAGTTTTATGTCTTTGGGTAAATAATGATGAAGAATAGAATGAGGTACTCATCAAATAATTCAGGATCATTATATCATTTGGAATATTTGCAATTTTTTATATTATACTTTATTATGAATGTATGTTTCTTTCATGAATTAATGCTTTTTTGAGGTAGGATGTTTTGAAACTTGCCAATTCATACTTTTTCTCTAAAGCTTTTCTGCCATATAAAACACTTTGTTCACTAGTAGAACTCTCTGGATGGATTTTTGCTGATCATGGATATTCTCTTTAAGAAAAAAAAGATCTAGATAGAACATAATCATTTCTTAGGAAGAGATCCATAGCACCCATCAAGACCAATCTTTCTTAATAAAATGATACACATCTTAACTATTGCCATGAAATTCTTAGAGAATGTCTATATTGTGTGACTGCCTAGAATGGACTGGTTCTGAGTTTCTCAGTTTCTACAAAAAAAAAAAATACTTTCTGGGACAGAGTCTTACTTTGTCATCCAAGCTACAGCTCAGTGGCATTTTCAGGGTTCACTGCAGCATCAACCTTTCTCAGCTCAGATGATCCTCCCAACTCAGCCTTCCTGGTAGCTGGGACTACAGAAACATGCCTCCACATGTGTGTGTGTGTGTGTGTGTGTGTGTGTGTGTGTATTTTTAGTACAAATGGGGTTTCACTATGTTGACCAGGCTAGTTTCAAACTCCTGGGCTCAGGCAATCCACCCTCTTCAGCTTCCCAAAGTGCTGGGATTACAGACATGAGTCATCATGCACAGCCAGTTCTAAATATTTTACCAGGACTGTGTCATGAATACGGTGCTGCTCTTATTCTTAGTTGCTGCTCTTAGTCAACACAAATGGGTAGCTAGAGGAGTTTGCTGCTGAAGTAGTATGATTTTCCTTCATATTTAATGTCTGTTATCGCCATTACTCTACCTGTTTCTCTCTACCCCTAAAGTTGCTCATGTAAAACTATTTTGGAGGGTGATAATATTTGTCATGTCACTAGTAGAATTGGATGAAACTTGTAATTCTCAGAAAAGAGACAGTGTTTAAATTTATTCTAAGATATTAATAACTAAAGATAAATTCTTCCCTAGGCAAAAGCCTTAGTTATTTTAGCAGAGTTTTTGGGGTTGGGGTGTGAACTTGAAGCCACTGGATTTCATGGCTCCCTGAAGAAATGAAAAGAACGGAGTTTATAAGACACATCTGCCTACTTTGAGATTTTGCTTAAAGTTAGCTGTTTTTTTTTTAACAAGTGTGTGTGTGTGTGTGTACAGGCCTGACAGTCTGAAGAAATGCTAAGTCGTGAGCAAATCTAGTTAAATATCTTCAATACATACTGTTAGGCCCAAAGATGAACATTTTAAAAATGGAAGTTCTAGTCTAGCTTCTGACAAGATACAAATTTACTTAAAAATGAAATAAGGATGTGAGAAAATACATTGTAATTTTGCAAGATAGAATGATAAATTGATAAATGAGTCAAATCCTTGTCATGTTTTCAGTTCAAACAGAACAGTATCTTCTTGGACTGTAGGGATCCAAGAAGACTGCAGAAGAAGAAACATTTGCATTTAACCTTATAGCATGGAGGGAAAAGAGACATGAGGAGAGGAGGTACAGGAAGATGGCCTGGGAGATTATTTCCCATTTATTTCCCGTTTGTAGAATGAGACTATCACCACTTGCCAACTACATGACCTATCATATTTTCCTGATTGGCAGCCAGATTGTTCTCTGCTGTTTGTACATAAACCTGCCTGGGGCAATACTGGTGCTGCCTCCCAGTCAAAGTCTAATCCAGAGTGAAAAATCCGGGCTAACACATCAATTCCTCTGTGGCCCATACTGCCTCTTTTCTGTAAGTGAAGGGTGCTGAACACTTTGTGACGTTTAACTGAAAAATCTGTACTTAGTGTCTCTAATAGGCTATTTGAAATATTAAGCTAGGTATGAGATAGTTCACTTCTAAGTTCCTTTCAAAAATGAATTTTCTTATTTTTTATATCACTACTCTCTTCTCTGTCTCTCTACACACACACACACACACACACACATGCACACACACACACATGCAGTGTTTGGCTCAGCTCCTCTTTTTATTGTTATGTGATTTTTTTGAGTCCTAAAATTATATAGCCTCAATATTCTATTGTTGGTTGTTGGTATGGCAAATATGACACTATAAAAAAAATCTTCGGCAAACTTTCCTAGAACTGGGCTAAAAAAATGATGTGGGAAAGATCAAAAGGCTGACAAGTTTCACAGTATTGTTTATTCCTGCACAATGACTGATGGTGTTGCTGGTCTTTGGTTCTGCGGATATAAAAGGGAAGAAAAGGCCAGAAGACTGCACTCAGGAAATGCCTTGCACTCCGTCCTTATCGTGGTGTGACCAGCTGTACCACAAGAACCGGTAGGACTTTTAGATACAAAGGAGCCCTTTCATGGGTAGTCCAGGGGCTAAAAAGAGTAGGGAAAAGAACTGAAATGTATCACATCCATGAGTCTCTGTTTAATGAAGTCTTAAAGGTAGAAAGGAACCCAAGTAATCAGGTGATCTAGCCCCTCAGTTTTTGGATGAGAAGTTACATGCAGAGAAGTCATGTGATTTGTGAGAGTGACAACTAGATTCTAATGGAGGAGAATCCAAGAGTATTATTATTATTTAAAACACAATATGAGCTAGATAGAAACAAAGTAGGAATATTTTCATTTTATATGGGAAGGGAATTTTATCCTACATATAGACAGAAACAGAATTTCTATAGCAAGAATATCTCAAACCAAGTTACCCATGGATTCAATCTATCCCACTCTAACTCTCAGCTCCCATAATTTTTGTTTAATGTAAGTTCCATTAGCATGAAACTTGATCTCTTTTGTCTACTGCTGGATCCACAAGCTCATCTCAGTGACTGCCATATAAAAGGAGCTCAATAAATATTTGTTGAGTGTATAAATTTACATAAGCATTTCATAGTCATGCAAATGTCATGATTAATAAAATTAATGTCATGAGCCATTTGTGGAAGTGGCATCCATCCAAGTACAAGGACTTGGATATTTTTTTTTTTTTTTTTGAGATGGAGTCTTGCTCTGTTGCCCAGGGGAATGCAATGGCGTGTTCTTGGCTCACCACAACTTCTGCCTCCTGGGTTCAAGCTATTCTCCTACTTCAGCCTCCTGAGTAGCTGGGACTACAGGTGTGCACCACCATGCCCAGCTACTTTTTATATTTTTAGTAGAGATGG